CAGGTATCAAACTCACGACTTTGTGTTTGCCAAGTAGGCACTTATGCCGCTGAGCTAAATCCCCAGCCCCTATGGTCCTTTCTTTAACACTGAGTTGGATCCTGTCATTTCTGTTTTCCATGTCACTGGAAATAAATACCATGGTTTCAACACTGGCTTCTGAAACTCTCTGTTGTATGTTTTCTTCTTGCAGCCTAACTAGCCTCCCACCAATCCATTTCAGCCACATGAAGGGCATTGCTGTCCCTAGACTTGGTGCTTAGCCTCTTTATGCCTAGTACATGTGTTCCAGAGTTCTGATTCCATTACCTTTCTTAGTGCTCTTAGAAAAGAGCCACCATCAACCCTTACATGAAAACATTTTCTGCCTCTATAAATTACTTTTTTCTGATATCGTTTATTAATAAGTTGCTTAACTTACTATTTGCTAGTACTGTCTCCCATTAGAATACCTGTATAAGCACAGATGAGAACCCTGGAGCCTTCGTGCTTTTCAGTAGTATCTGGAATATAGTAGATAGCTAACGATTTTCCTGACACTTGTAAATTGGGAAATCAAAAATAGAGAAAAATTTGTAGTTACTGTGCCACTTGGAGTGGCCAGTACTGCTTTATTTTTTTTCTAGCTGGAAATGGTGGCAAATAGTAGAAACTCCCAGTACTCTGCAAGACAGAGATAGGAAGATCTGATGTTCAAAACCAGCCTGGGCAAATCAGTGACTTAACAAGACCAAGTCTGTAATTTAAAATAAACTCAGGCTGTAGCTCACTACAAAGGCCCTAGTTCATTCCCTAATATTACCAAACCAGTGAATGAATAACGGCCAGTTTTTGCATAAATTTGAAGTAATTTTTACATTTAAATATAGCCAGTGGCTAATTAGTTCACATACTATCAACCAAGCCAAGACCCTGGGGACATTTCCGTGTGAATCTCCTGTGTTCCTTGGCAAGAGGACTGCACTGCTGGGTAGGACGGGGCACCGTGGTGGCCTGGAAACCTTTAGGTTTTGCTACCCACAGATGTCTTTGACTCCTGCTTCTCTTTTTTTTTTTGTCTTTTTCCTTTTTTATCGGTACCGGGGATCGAACTCACGACTGCCTGCTTGCAAGGCAGGCGCTTATGCAGCTGAGCTAAACCTCTAGCCCCACTCCTGCTTCTCTTTAGCCTACATTAGTACAGACTTAGGCCAGCTTTTGTAATGCTATGAGAAAAGATCATCCTAGCAAAACATGTCCACCCTCATCTGGATAGAACAAGTGATCTGCTTGTTAATATAGTGTATGTTCATTTTGAGGTACAATTTTATCAGTAGCCCCAAAATTACTTAACTTTATTAGAACTGCTTTTATAGAATTTTCATTTGTGAGCTTACATAATTTTTTTTCTTAGCTGCTGTTGTTTTATGGTCATGTGGAGAATCAGTGTTTACTAGGCTGTATCTGGACACATGTAAATTACACTCATGCTAGTGAAAGTCAGCCTCATTTCATGATTGACAGAAGTGTCTACTGCACTAAGGCAGCGATGGTGAACCTTATAGAACCTGCAGTGATAACACACACCTGGCTGTGGCACATGGGCCTTAGGTTTGCCACACTACACTAAGAGGTCTTCAGTTCAAACGATAGCCATTTGACCATATTATAAAAGACACTCAAGACATAGTTTGAATAGGGCTGAGGAGTTAGCTCAGTGGCTTAAGTGCTTCCCTGGTAAGCACAAGGTCATGAGTTTGATCCCTGGTACTAAAAAAAGATAAAATAAAAGACATAGTTTGGATCATTAATCCACATTTAATTGAAATTAAAGGATAAATTTAAGCAGATCTCAGTCTGTGTTCTATGAACTGGTCTTACATGTGCTACTGCTGAAAAGATTTATTGATGAACTTCTAATCCTCAGAAAAAAATGATAGCTTGATAGCTATAACTTCCTCAAAGTAATCTTTCTTAAAATATTGGCATCTGTTCTTTTCCCTGCCAGATAACAAAATGAATGAATAAGTAATTTAGAGTAATTGTTCTCAGACTGGACTTTGCACTACATACAGGTCTCATTGATTTCTATATTTTCTGCTTTGTGTCTGCTGAGTGGGAATCTTGGTTGAACTTAAAGATTCTCCATAGATGGCTATTTCTTACGTCTCTTACTTCTACCTAAAGCTGAGTTTCTCTTTTTTATTCCAGATAGTTCTACTGTATGTTTTATGTTGAGGGAAATTAGTACTCATAAGAGATTAAAAAATACCATTGGAAAAAAAAATACCATCAGTCATTATCCATGAGGGTGTCTCATAATGGGGCATTCTAAGGATGATATGTGTTCCCTAAAGACAGGAAACACTTTACCTTCTTCTCCTTGTACTTTTTCTTTAGAAGTCTAGAACTAGGAACTGTGGCAAGAGCATAATAGCAAGCTACTGGTAGGGGAGTTATTGGTGGTAGCAGCTGTGAGTCCTGCCTGTTTTCTACCCATGCAGGAATTTCTCTTGCTGCCCTTAGCACCATGAGCGTCTCGAGAAAGAGAACTTGAAGTGGTCAGGCAGTAACTTTAATTTAGTTTCAAGAAAAATAAATCGAGTTTCTGTGATATAGTTTAAACTTCAACTTAATATACTTACTCTTTCATTAGTTGAGTGTGTCTGATATGTGTCATACTAAGGTAAGAAAAACGGATTTTTGCTCTGAGACACTCCTATGAATTAAGAAAGCAGATGATTAGTTAATAAAATATAATGACCTTAAGGGCTTTTACCTAAGTTTTACAGTAGGAATGTGCAACTGGGTTTGGTAGTGAGCATCAAGGAAAACTTTAGAGCTCAAATACTGAGCTAGGGCTTAAAGTAATTAGCCAGACAAAAGACAAATTATAGTAGTCTAGGTGAAGGGAAAAAGTGTGAGAGGGTATTGGTGTGTTTTTTCACAACCTTGCTATGTCTAGATGCTTCAAAAGTATAGTGCTTTTCAGTACTGTGCCTTTTTTTCCTAAGTGTAAATACATATAGAGTATTTGATCATCAACAAGAGATCATTTATTAAATTTGGCAAAATTTAATATTTGAATAATCTTTAGCTTATATGTGATACAGTTGTTCTTAACCTTTCCTATACATTAAATAGCAACATATCCATAGGATTAAGATAATCAAAAGACAAAGTTGAGTACTAATCAAATTTAAATAGAGAAGGACCTAGGAGAAAAGTACATATTAAAGAAAAACTGTTAAAACTATGCTGAACACTATTCAGGTATCTTTAACCTTTCATCATGTCGCTCGGTGCACATTTTTATCCCACAGTAAGTTCATACAGTCCTGAGGTCAAGTAAAAAATAGGTATTTTGTATCTGTGCTGCGTATCATTACACTTATGTTTGGGTATGCATTTCTTGGAGTATTTCACAATAATTTTACCTTATGGAATTGGAGTATAACTCAGTGGTTGAATATGGTTTGCATGTGTGAGGCCCTGGTTCAATCCTCAGCACTAAAAAGCTTATCATTTGTACTTTCCCATGTGATTGTGATTAACCCTTAACTGTTGTAATTGGAAGATCCAAAGTGCTGGATTCTACTTTTATCTTTTATATCTCATGTATTTACCTCTGCAGCAGGCGGATCATGTAGCAATGGGAATGTGGTCCCAATTTCATTTGTAAATTGGAAGGTGTGCTTGTAATCCGAAGATCCCTTTACCTCACAGGTTCTATATGTTCATATTTTAGGATGTCATTATTCTGATACAAGACTAGAGCATAAGGGCTGGGGATTTAGCTCAGCGGCATAAGCGCCTGCCTTGCAAGCAGGCAGTCATGAGTTCGATCCCCGGTACCGATAAAAAGGAAAAAGACAAAAAAAAAAAAAAAAAAAAGAAAGAAAGAAAGAAAAAAAAAAAAAGACTAGAGCATAAGCCAGGCATAGTGGTGCCTATAATCCCACACTTGGGAGGCTGAGTTGGGAGGATTGTTGAACGCTTGAGAGCAGCCTGGACTACATCTGTACTGGCCCAGCCTGTACTGCTAGTGAGATCCTGTCTTAAAGGACTAGGGCATAATTCCATAGTGGAATAATATCAGAAACAACATTTTTCCCATTCCATTATGAACAATCTGCTCAATCCTCATTTGAAATTATAAGAATCCTCTCACTACCTATGCCATTCTTTTTTCAGACTTGGGCATTTAAAATTCAGATGAAGTATAACTGTATATTGCCAAATATATACAGACTCTCAATTTTGTGACCATTGTAAAGTAACAGTAAGGTAAATATTTTCAAGCATGTACTACTTTGATATCTGAATATTGGTTCTTTAAATACTTTGAAAGTGACTTCAGACTAACAGCAAAAAAGATGTAAGATGTACATCTTTTATTATTCTGGCTCCTCTGCTAAATTTTGTTTGTAGGTTTCTTTATGCTATAAGTAGTGAGTAATTCAATGGCACAGCACCTGCCTGGCAAGTGCAAAGTCCTGAGTTTGATTCTTAGTACCAAAAAAAAAGTAGTAGTTAACCTAACAGTTGTCCCTTATCCTGGTAGTCATGAACTTTCCTTGAGACAAAGTAGATAGAGTAATTGCCTTACAGTTTACTCCAAGGGTTCATAGAGCCTTACCAAAACATGTAATCTGAACAGATTATAGATCTCTACCTAGATATCAGCATAATAAGAAGCAAAGATGATTCTTATTAATTAGTAACTGAAAAGGGTGAATATTTAATGACCACCTACTATTTGTCAGTCAGCTATTTAAGCACAAGGAGTGAACAAGTCCCTGTGTTGCTGAAGAGCCTGGAAGAACTGTAGTCCTGAGCTTGGCATGGTATGGCAAGGGGGGAGGGTAGAGGGATCATAGCAAGGTGGCCTTTAAAAGAGTGGAGACATTAATTACTAAATTAATCTCAATTATATGTATCTTTCTTAGGAACTTAGGCTTCTGGTTAGCATGGTTTTCATGTATTTACCTCCTACTTTGTTCATGTTTTGTTTTCATTAGGAGAGAACATTGAAATTATTTTCTAAGCTATTTGAAGAGAGTGACTAAATGCACCTGGGTCAGGCTGGCTGTGGGTATGAAGTGGTTGGGAGAATCCAAGAACATGGTGGTGAATGGCAGGAGAAATGGAGGCAAGTTGTCTAATGATCATCAGCAGAACCAATCAAAATTACAGCACACTGGCAAGGACGCCTTGAAGACTGGCAGAACCACAGTCGAGAGGAGGTCAAGCAGATGTATGTACACTTTTAAACTCAGTCTTTTGATTGTGATGTGGGACAGTAATTCCACCCAGTATGTAATTCGTGTTTTATCGTCAAAACAGTTTTGTACATTCTCATAGTTAACGGTATAGTTTTATTTATTCTCATCAGTTTTTTTAATCAAACCATATGTGAAACAAGTAAATTCTATATATAATTATGTTTGTATTTGATAACTTCATATTTTATAGACTTTATACCTGAATAGTTCATGTGTTCTATAAAAATATAAAGGTACCACACAGCTGAATTTTTGTAAGTTTAAATTGCATTTTTAATATTCTGTGTAAGTATATACTTTTTTGGTAACTTCCATAGAGCAATATAAATAATGAAGTCACTGTAATTTAGATGGTGAGTAGAATGCAGGACAGAAAAAAACTGACTATTGGAGGGCATCTTTGCAGATCACAGTTAAGTCTACTTATACAGGAGAGCCATTTATCCTGACAGTGCTAATAAGTTGCTTTATTACCATGTATTTCTTTGAGGCTTGTTACAGTAGTTCTGTCGGAGTAATGAGATGCCTAGGAGTAAGTGTAAATACAAATAGGCATTTTATAAAGGTTGTCTAACACTGTATATTCTTTGTGGTTTTCTTTCTTTATTTCTTTTTTTAGACAGGGTCTTGCTGTGCAGTTCAGGCTGGCCTTGAGCTCACTTTGTAGCTCAGGCAGGTCTTGAACTCACAGTGATCCTCCTGCCTGAGCCTCCTAAGTTCTGTGATTATAAGCATGCATCACCACACGGGGCAAGAGAGTATATTCTTGACAACATTTTTAAGAGTTAAAGAGGACACACTTTCAATTCCTGCTATTCCTAACAATAATCTACGCACTGCTGAATATTCCCAGTTTGTGTTGAGATTGCCAGTGCCCAGTGGTTTGGATTAGTCAATGGTTTTCTGCATTTCCAAATATATTGCACAGTTCTAATTCATTTCCTTCTTACCATTTATGGATTGTATTATTCATTCACCCAGACTGCCACTTTTCATATCAGATCATGTCCCTGTTTCTGTGGAAAACCAGTCCCATTTCCTGCAGAGTATAAGAATAGCAGAGAGCCCATTGGGTATGATGACTTGTGTCTATATCTTCAGCTACTTGGGAGACTGAGGTGGGGAAGATTGCACATTTGGAGACAGCCTGGACAACTTAGCCAGATCCTGTCTGAAAAACAGAAAGGATTTGGGAGTATAGGGGAGTGACTTGCCTAAGACCCTAGGTTTAATTCCCAGTTCTGCAAAAATAAAACAAAAAAGAAGAGGAAAGAGCCCAAGACTGAATATGCTGTCCTCTCCGTGGACACCACCTCACCCCTGAAGCTGCTATCATCATGTGCCATATTCCTGTCTTATTTTAAGCATTTAGTGGGAACACTTAACACTTCAAAAATGTGACCAAATGTGACCAAATTGAAGGGAAAAATAGACAACTCAGCAATAATTTGGATCCTTTAGTTCATAATAGAACAACTAGGCAAAATATCAATAAGAAAAGAGTGCATTTAACCAAATACAGCAGGTAGACTTGTGGACATCTGTAGCATGCTACTCTACATTGGTAGAGTACTGTTCTACTCAACAATAGCAGAATGAATGCTCATTATTCTGAAGTACACATGGAACATTTCTCCAGGACAAGATACATGACAAGTCCCAATAAACTTAAAAAATTGAAATAGTAAAAGTATGTTTTCTACAATGGAATAAAATTAGAAATTAATAATACAAAGAAATTGGGAGAGTTAACTAAATACATGGAAATTAAACAGTGTGCTACAAAATAATCAGTGGATCAAAGAAAAAAATAAGAAACTAAAAAACACTTATGAATGAAAATGAGGATAAAACTTATAGAATGAAGCTAAAAAGCAGTAACATACATGAAAATATAGAGTAGATATAAAAGCCTATATTAAAAAGAAAAAAATTTTCATGTTGTTAGCCTAACTTTCACTATAGAACACAAGGGAAAAAAAATTAAAAAGAACTAAACCCAAAACTAGTAGAAGGAAGAAAATAATAAAAATTAGGGTTGAAATGAATGAAATACAAGAGGAAAAAGTACGGAAAATGTGGAACCAAAGTTAATTTTTTAAAAAGATCAACAAAATTGACAGACTTTAAGCAAAACCCAGGGCTGTTCAGTGGTTCAAGTGCTTGCCTGGTAAGTGTGAGTTGGTGAGTTTGATCCCCTGTACCAAAAAAAAAGCAAAGACCAAGAAAAGAGAACTGAGATTCCTAAACTCAAGAATGAAAGAAAGGAGACGTTAACTGCCTTACAGAAATAAAAGTTGATATAATAATACTATGAATAATTGTATATGAATAAATTAGGTAACAGATAAAACGGACAAATTCCTAGAAACAAACAACTGAAAATAATTGAAGGAATTTTTGAAAACCTGAATAAACCTGTTTGGCAGATAAAGAGATTCAGTAATTAAAACTACCAAAAAAAAAAATTCTCCCCACAAAGAAAATCTCAGGAGGCACATGCCTAGCAAGCACAAGATTGTGAGTTCAGTCCCTGGTACCTAAAAAGAAAATCCCGGATGACTTCATTGGTGAATTCTTCAAGATTTCTACCAATTTGTAGAATTAACAACTTACCACACACAGCTCTAAAAGATAAAAGAGAAAGGAATACTTCTTACTCATTATCCTGCTTCTAAAATCACATATCACAAGGAAACTACAGACCAGTATCTCTTATGAACACGAACGTAAAAGTCCTCAGTGAAGTCCAACAGCATATAAAAAGAATTCTGTAGCATGACCTAGAGGGGTTTATTTGAGGCATGCAGGATTGATTAAACATCTGAAAATCAATTAGTGTAATAAGCCACATTAATAGAGTGAAGGACAAAAAACAATTATATGATCATCTCAGTAGATTCAAAAGAAGCATTTAACAAAATCCAACATACTTTCAGGACGGGAAATACTGAACTAGGAATAGAAGGGAATACCACTACTGGATAAAGAACATCTATTTAAAAATTACAGTTATAAAAAAAATAAAAATCACAGTTATTATAATATGTGATGGTGAAATACTGCTTTCCCCTAAGATCCACCAAGACTGGGGTATCCTGTCAACACTTTTCTTCAGCATTCTACTAGAGGTTCTAACCAAGCCGTTATGCAAGAAAATGGACTAAAAGGAATCTAGATTGGATAGGAAGAAATAAAACAATCTCTGTTTTGCAGATAACATGATTACATATGTAGAAAACCTTGAGGAGGCCAGACATGATAGCACATGCCTGTTAATCCCAACACTAGGGAAGTTGAGGCAGGAGAATCACAAGTTCAAGGCCAATCTAGACTACATAGTGAGACTTTACCTCAGAAACAAAATTCTAAGGGATCCACTGAAAAAAACTATTAGAGTTAATAAAAAGTTAAGTAAGCTTAGAGGATACAATATCAGTCTGCAGAAATATATCATGTTTTGTAAACTTGGAATGAGCAATCCAAAAATGAAGTTAAGGGCGCTGGGGATTTAGCTCAGTGGCATAAGCGCCTGCCTTGCAAGCAGGCAGTCGTGAGTTCGATCCCCAGTACCAATAAAAAGGAAAAAAAGACAAAAAAAAAAAAAAATGAAATTAAGAAAATCTCATTTACAGGCCGGGGATTTAGCTCAATGGCATAAGTGCCTGCCTGGCAAGTGTGAGGTCATGAGTTCAATCCCCGGTACCAAAACAAAAAAAGAAAAAGAAAATCTCATTTACAGTGGCATGCCAAACAAGAGAGAGAAGAGAAGTAAAAGAAGTTTTACAGAAGTGTGAACTCTGAAAATTATAAACCATTGAAAAATGAGTAAGACCTAAATGGGAAAACACTGTATGTTCATTGACTAGCAGATTTAATATTGTTCAGATGGCCACATTGCTTTAATAATCTGTAGATTTGACATAATACCTATTAATGTCCTAAGTGGCTTCAAATAACAAACTGATCCTAAAATACTTATGAAAATTCAAGGAACTCAGAATAGCGAAATCATTTTGAAAAAGAACAGAGTTAGAGAACTCATACTTCCCAGTTTAAAAACTAACTATAAAGTTGCGGTAATCAGGGGAGTTAATGATTTGGCATAAACATAGATCTACAGAATAGAATTAAGAGTCCAGAAATCACTTTTGGGAGGGGGTTGAATTTAAAGGGATTGAACTATTGGGGATTGAATTTATGACTTCACATTTTTCAGGCAAGTACTTGTGCCACAGATCTAAATCCCCAGCCCCAAATCCTCACATTTTGACCGACTGATTTCTGACAAGAATGCCAAGAGAATTCAGTGGAGAAACAATAGTCTTTTTTCAGCAGATGGTGTTAGGAAAATTAGGTATCCATGTGCAAAGACTAAAGCTAAGCTTCTGCCACATGTAGAAACTAATTAAAGATAAGATGAATCAGAGACCCCAGAGTAAAAGTGAAACCTATAAAAATCATAAGAAAACAAGCATAATTTTTCCTGACTTGAGATTCAGTAATGGTAAGGAACAACAACAAAAAATTGATCAAAATTGCAACTTTCTTCAGGAGACACTGCTAGCATCATTAAACAACCACAGAATGAGAGGAAATATTTTCAAATCAAATCTGATAAGGAACTAGTAGCCAGAATACATACAAACTCTTCAAAACCAACTATGAAAGACAAAATCCAGTTTTAAAATGGGCAAATGATCTGAATAGACAAATAAGCACAGGAAAAGATTTTATTGTGGGCAGTAAGCACAGGAAACATTCTAATATTAGTCATCAAGAAAAGTCAAAACTATAAGGTACTAATTTATAATCAATAGGACATCTCAAATTTAAAAGGTAGTAACAGGTGTTGTGGAGAATTTGGAGCACTGTTGGTGGGAATGTAACTCCTAGTTTTAAAGAGTCTGGCAGTTCCTCAGCAGTCAAACATACAGTTATCACTTAACCCAGCATTTCTACTCCTAGATAGAATTAGAAACATAATGTACACACAGTAATATTATGAATGTTCACAGCAGTATGATTTGTAATAACCAGATCCACCAACTGGCACGTGGGTGGACAAAATATGAAGCATACACATGCGATGGATCATTATTTAATCATAATAAAGGATGAAATACGCATGGAGTAATGTGAATAAACTTTTGAAATAATGCGAAGTGAAAGAAACCTGTCACATAGAGTCATAATGTAAAAGGGCAGGGTATGGTGACGCATGTCGTAATCCCAGCACTTGGGAGGCTGAAGCTGGAGAATTGCTCTTGGCATTCAAGGCTAATTTGCATTACAGAGTGAGATTCTTATCTCAGGAACTCAAAACAACTCTTGTGAGTATGTTTAAAAAAATTACATACTTTAAGTGAATGATTTGTATAGTAGGTGAAATATGTTTCAGTGAAGCTTTTTTTTTTTTTGTCTTTTTCTTTTTTTATCGGTACCAGAGATCGAACTCACAACCACACACTTGCAAGGCAGGCGCTTATACCACTGAGCTAAGCCCCTTCAGTGAAGCTTTTATGAAAATGTAACAATTTCAGAGCCGTAGTAGTGCATATTGATAATGCCAACATTCAGGAAGCTGAAGCAGAAAGATTATGAGATCATGGGAGATTGGGCTACATAGTGAGTTCAGCACCATCCTGGACTACTACATCTGTCTAAAAGAACAAAAAAAATTTTGATGGCAGACATGTAGCTAATTTTATTGTAAAATCATGTACCTGTACTTGGCAGGGCCCTGTATGTGTTTATTTTGTTTTTGTGAAAAAGTAGATGAAGGTTAAACCTCTGTGTCTCTAATTCTTTTTTTTTTTTGGTCTTTTTCCTTTCTATTGGTACCGGGGATCGAACTCATGACTGCCTGCTTGCAAGGCAGGCGCTTATGCCGCTGAGCTAAATCCCCAGCCCTCTAATTCTTTTATATTTTAGTTTTGAGAGCCATAAAAGTATGATGATGCCCTATAAATTATATATGCTAATTCCATGAAAAGACTGTCAATGATGTGTGCATCAAACTTTAGCAGCAATAACAAGTCTTAATCTGTGTAAATGTGAATTTCTTAACATTGATTTTCACAGTTAAACTCAATTACTTCAGTTACATATTTCAGTCTGTATTTTTATCTATTCATTGAAAATTATTTAAAATAAATAGAACTATCACTCTACACTTTTTTCCCTTTCTTCTGCTACCTAGCTCTGTGATGACAAGCAAGTTTTTGAACCTTTTGACCTAAGTTGCCTTCAAAGTGGGATAGTAGTCACTTAGCTGCCCTTCACAAAAGCAAGAAACTGAACTCCTTGAGGCTTGTGTTGGTTCTTGAGATTCACAGTTTTGGCACTTCTTGCAGAAACTTCAGAAACTATCTTGAGTTCTTGTTTCCTTCTCACCCCATCCTTATGTAATGGCTCCATAGGCCATCTCATTAGAATAATGCCATCCTGCTATCTTGTTTCCTGGCTGTTCTTTAAGGAGAGAGTAAATCACTAGAACCAGAGTCTTCCAACTTCTCAGAGCCCATTCTTTGTAAATCTGATATTTGCTGCCCAAAATACTCTCAGTAATTGGCTCAGTTTACTGCATTTGGTTTTCTTTTTTAAGCAAGCATATTATTTTCCTAATTATTAAAACTGATGGAAATAAGTATTCTTATTTTTGGTTATTAGCTTGAATGGGCAGTGATTTTTAAGAGTTGTAAAGATAAATTTAAGTATTTTACAGTTTAAATTACTTTTTTTTTGCTTTTCACAGGTAATGGTAATTCAGGATTTGAAGGACAGAGTCGCTATGTGCCATCTTCTGGAATGTCTGCCAAGGAACTCTGTGAAAATGACGACCTAGCAACCAGTTTGGTTCTTGATCCCTATTTAGGTTTTCAGACACACAAAATGAATACTAGGTAATTTTAAGTCTTTATCCTGAATAGAACAGATTTAACAAAATAGATGGTTGGCAGGTATGGTGGTAGACACCTGTAATCCCAGCACTGGAGGAGGCTGAGTTAGGATTACAGGCTTTCAGATGTAAAGTTTAATAATTTAGCAAGATACTATCTCAAAAGATAAAAAATCGCTGAGGATATAGCTCACTGTGAACATCCCAGGTTCAGACTCCAAGTACTACAGGAAAAAAAATGAATTTTACTTTTCAAAATTTTAAATGACATTAAAAGAAGATTCTTTGCTACAGAAGGATTTCTCTTGAGTCAAGACAAATAAAGCAAGCTACTAAGAGTCTCATCAATTTTAATTCTATTTTACCTGAGAATATTTCTGTTTAAATATTAAACTGGTGGAATAGCTGCTTGTTTTGTTTTCAGTATTTATAATTATTTTACTTAAGTGCAAAGTCTTATAGACATCCTGTAAAACCTTGAAAATGCATTTTTTAACTTAAGATGCATTTTCCCCATAATTTTATTATATACTTTAAAATAATTGCCACTTATTCAGTATCATTTGCTGTATGTATAAAATATAAGTGCATTCATCTTAGTCTCTCAACCTTTAACATTTAAGGCCTCAAATACTCTCTTAAACATTACCTCTTAGAAAGGATCCCTAGATCATTTTGTAATTGTTTCTGCCATCAAACAGGAGGTCATAGGTTTGCAGCTTTACTTTTTTGCATCTGAGGCAAAGGGTTTTGAGTTGAATGAAGAGCATGCCAGCAGAGATTTAGAGTGGAGAGCCAGTCTGGCCTGGGGTTAGGGGTTAGGATTAGAGCTCCTTCTCATTCCATCACACTCACTGGCATTTTGTAGCCCAGTTCCTATGACAAGCCAGGAAGAGAATTCAAGGTATATGGACACTGACAGTTGAAGATGGAAGAATTGATTACTACAGGTGACTGGAAGAAAAGCCTTGCGTGCCTTTTTCATCCTAATTTTCCTTTGCTCTCATTAAAATAATGTGCACTATACTTCACTTATCAATTTTAAGTTCAGAAAGGAGTAGTTTGGGTATTTTTGTGTAATTTGCTGTCATCACATACCTTTACTTGGTAAAATGAACTGAAACATTGGAATAGAAGTGAGAGATTATCTAAAGTTTCCTACCAGGTAACTGCCTATTCTCTGGGAAATTAATAAGATTGATGCTCTGATCCAACTAAGATTAAATTTACATTATTACTTAAGTATATTTCCCCTTTTTCCTTTGTTAACATCAAAGACCAGTGCTCATTCTCTACCTTCTAAACCTAGAAGACATTTATAGAATTTCAGCTGCATGCAGTGGCACTTACCTGTGATCCCAGCAAGATCAAGCCCAATGTGGACTACTTAGCATGACCCTAACCTCAAAAGTTTTTCAAAAGGGTGGGGAGATGAAGATGTAGCTCAATGCAGAGATCCTGGATTGAATCCCCAGTGAAGAATTTTAATCACCTGTTAGCCCTCACTCTTTTTTTTTTTTTCCTCCCTGAGTTAAGGAATGTGAATATGTGAATCATGTTTTGACGCAAGTCTGGTAGCCCGCTGGATACCACTGCAGAGAATCATGATGTTAGCCTGGAGTCTTTGAGAAAGTTCTGCTGATTGTACTTCATAGATTGAGATAAACAAATGTATAAAAACATTTTAGAGGGGGAATTTGGCTCAGTGGCACAAGCGCCTGCATGGCATGTGCAAGGTCGTGAGTTCGATCCCCGGTACACAAAAAAAGAAAAAGATTATTCCATTAAAATTACAAGTCCTGGGCTGGGGATTTAGTTCAGCAGCATAAGCGCCTGCCCTGCAAGCAGGCAGTCGTGAGTTTGATCCCCGGTACTGATAAAAAAAAAAAAAAAGTTCTAATGGTTTATGAAAGAACTTCTTGCATTCTGAAACCCCTGTGCTTTATTCCCAAGAATAACTGTTAATGACTTCTGTAAGAAAGAAACCCTCCAATTTTCTATAAAAGTCCTCCTAGACCACTGTTGGTCACAATTAGTTTACCCATTAGTGGTTGAGAATCTTGTTAAAAAGTACATTGAGTCAGTGGCTTCAGGGTAGGTCCTAGGAGTCAGCAATTCTAACAGCTCCCAGGCTATATTTGAAATTATTAGTTCTTGACCCATCAGGCCTATGAGTTCCATGGTGATGTGATAAATGAGTTAAAAAGTTTTTACCTTTTGTTTCTGAAGACTCAGTTAAAACGTGATAGTCATAAATGTCAAGTTCAGAGGGGCCAAAGGTGTAGCTCAGTGGCAGAGTGCTTACTCAACATATGCAAGGCCCTGGGGTTCATTATCCCCTGCAAGAAGTAGATGAATAAAGTGTGAACTAAAGGATTCCACACAGATGCTAACACTAAAGATACTACTGTATCTCAGGACTCATAACCACATTCTGTTTCTACAGAAATTGAAGCATCTACAATCAAAGACGGTTAAACAAAGTAAACTTTCACATGACTTTTACTCATCTTTTTAAGGGCAATATTTAATTACACAGTTCCTTAAATAGCCAGTGATGGTGAAGCCATACCTACTGTTCCCCTTTATTAATAAGTTTGTTTGTCTTAATGAAAGGTACACATACTTATTTCATCTTAGTGGACTTACTTCAAAATAAAACTAGCAAGCCAGGTATGGTTTGGGTTCTTATTTATTTGCAGGTCAAAAAGGAATGGAGAGCAACAATTTACTGAAATGCTGACTAAAATCATTTTCGAAGATAGTATTTTATAGAAAATAAGGAGTATCAATACTAGAGTATAAAAATACTTGTAAATTGTTAATTCTTGAACTTCAATCTTTGAGGCACAAAAGAAATGACTGGTAAATGTTATAGATCTTGAATTTTCTGCGTGTTCTTTGCTAATTGTTAAGTGGTTCTCTTTGTTCATGTTTATACACCTATAATTTGTTGTTAGTTTCTCATTTTAACCCTTTTGATTCCCTTCTTTCAGTGGACCTCCAGGAATAGTTTTAAAACAGTAAGATGTTTAATGATTTGCCTGAGTGCTTATGTTGTAATTTCAATATATTGCTATATTTACCAACAAGTAAGAGTTGTAGAATGAATACATAGTATAACACAATACTAATTTTACTAGGAAAAACTTGTAGTCAATTGTGCAACATAAAAATTCTTTTTAGCAAGAGAAGAAATGTTACCTCTGTTTTAAAAGAAGTTGGAGACAAGATGTTATAAAGATGAGATGTATGTTTTCAGTAATGCCTCCTTGTTTAGGCAGTGTGACCCTGAGCTTTGACGATAAACTATGTACAGGGGAAACTCAGGCAGTAAGCTCAGGAGATGATATTATACAAGTGTCAGCTTATATAGTTACCTACCTTCCACCATTGTAACTAACTTTTATTTTGCTTTTGTATCTATGGGGTATGAGTTTATGAATGACTTTAATCACTTTAAAATTAGGAACTTGAGTAGAATGTGTAAAGAAAATTTGGAGACCTTCCCTAACTTAATAAATAAGGAATAGAATTCTATAAGAACCTGGCATTGTTATCCTTCTGAGCCTGCCTGTGGCTTCATGAAGTTCTTAAATACCAGTGTTTTTTTTTTTTTTTTAAGAGTTTTGCTACAATAAACATTGTAAGTCTTGTTTAGAAATTACAATACAAATCGTATAAGTAGTTTTTATCGTTATTTGTTTTTGCATTTATATAGCGCCTTTCCTTCGAGGAGCTCAAGGCATTTTTCAAAATCTGAAAGTTTTCCTCATAACAACCCTCTGAGGTAGGTAGAGTGCAATACAAACCAGTAATAAGATACAAATTAATGTGTTCCAACCTGTGTAGTGCTCTTTAATGTTAATTTGAGATGTAAGCAGAAACATGACTTGTAACCTTTTAAAATAGTTTGGTCTTAGTTATACTTAAAAACAAAACTCGTACTTTATAACAGGGTAATTTTAAAAGAACAGCAGATTAGTTAAGCACTGATTGCAAGGCTCAGCCAGGTATGGTTTGGGTTCTTATTTCTTTGCAGGTCAAAAAGGAATGGAGAGCTCTGGTTCTATGACTTCTCTGCGTATCTACAAACCCAGTTTGCGTGAAACTTCATTCAGATGGGGGAAATGTGTTTACTATGTTTCCTTACGGTTTTCTATTTTTGTATCTTAAATATTTGAGCATTGTCTTTCTCTTCCTTTCTCCTCTTTCTTCCTTTTTTGTCCCCCCCCCCCCCCGCCTACTCCAGTCAACTCTTGGTGGTACATACTAATGAAGGGCACAGTAGTCAGCTAATACCAATCTGCAGCTTTTCTTCATTGCCACAGTGGTCTCTTGGGTTTGGACACAGAAAAACCAAATAGCAAGCAAACCTGGGAAGTCAGTCTCTGGAGAGAGAGGGGAACAGGTGTGTGGGAACATGAATTTGGATGTTTTTTCCTGCCCCTTCTAGTAAAAGCTGATTGTAAACTACAGATTTTTTTTAAATTTTTTATACCAACCATTGATCAGAGGCATAGGAAGAAAAAAAAATATTTGGTTTTTTTAAAGTAGCAGATATTGTGTTAATAGAAAGCAAGGTAGGACATACTGTTTTAGAAATGCCAAAACTTCTTGTGCCACCCAACAGGTCACCTCAGTACTAAGTTTAAAAATCTAGAATCCGGGGCTGGGGATTTAGCTCAGCAGCATAAGCACCTGCCTTGCAAGCAGGCAGTCGTGAGTTCGATCCTTGGTACCGATAAAAATGAAAAAGACAAAAAAAAAAAAATCTAGAATCCTAGATCTCAAGCTCACATACTAAAGTCAGGGTGATAGCACATTCCTTAATATCATCACTCAGGAGACTGAGGAGAAGGATCACAACTTCAAAGGCAGCTGGACAACTTAGCAAGAGTCTTTCGCAGAATTTTTTTTAAAAAGATGGCATGGGGAGGACTAGAAGATTATTTTCTTTTAAGATCCTCAGTGGCTTTGCTCTGGCCCTACCAGCTATAATAGTCTTACGTTATTAAAACCAATTTTATTTCTCACAGTATTTTTTATAGATGGGTTTTGATGTCCACTGTAACCCAGTGATTTTTTATATATATTTACAAGGTAATTGAAAACAAGTGTTTTCTGCCTGTCTGTACCATATAACCATTTTCTTCCTCTTTCCCCTCACTATCATTTCATGCCTGTCACAGCCAACTGTGATAATAGGTTTTAACATTTTGGAGACCAAAAAAAAAAAAAATTGTCATGCAATAGAGGTGCTTACTAGTGAGTAGCAGGGGATAGTTTCATGAGTTTAGTTTATACAAATACAAGTCAGAAAAGTGGAAATAAGATCAGGAGTGAAGTAAAAATATTACTAGTTATTATTTTTTGTTGTTTTAGTATGTAAGTTATTTGGCATCATGAACAAATTGTAAACTAAGGATACGTGAAAGATGTTTTTAGATAGGAAGAAATGTGTTTCAAAAAGCGTAGGTTACACATAAAGCCTGTTATAGATATCCAAGATTGATTCCAGATCAGTAGCTTGTTTTTCTGAAATGCTCTTAAGACCTTTTAGGTGAGTTTAGCCTTAACTCGGTTTATTGTATGTTGAGACATGTAATTTTACTTGGGGGAGGTGTTTTTTCTTGTTTTGTGTTTGTTTGGTTGGTTGGTTTTGATTTGATTTGGCTTTATGCTATACTGGGAATTAAACACATGCTGTGCTCTACCACTATGCTGTGTCCCCAACCACATGTAATTATTTTTAAATGGAGTGTCATGATTAGTCAGTTCCACATCAGACATCTAAAGATAGCTTGACTCTGTCATTTGTAGTCCTACCACACAATATTGTGGATAATTATTACCTTTACTCAAAGTGATCTATGCTTTTCTGATTACTATATAAGATACAGCTTCTCTATTTTCCACCATTTCACATTTTATATTGCTTGAAGTGTTCTTAGCCAACAACTTCTTTCTCTTGGCTTATGTGTTCTTCATATGTAAATAGGCCTGTTATGTCAGGTTAAGGATTTCCTGGCTGAAAATGGAAATAAATGCTTAGTGCATTCCCTCATGTACCTCTAAAATGTGTTTGAATTCTTAGATAGCTCTGCTTAAGAATTGTGAGAATCCAGAGTTAACGAGTATCTGTAACTAGTAAGTTTCTAGTGGTATCCCTATGTATTAATGCATGTGAAATTTTGTAGAATTCTTGTCCAGTGAACAGTATCATACCTGCTCTTTACCTCATTTCTTACCTCTTCCTGGTTGTAGTACTTTCTTTTACTATTGCTAACCCTCTACTGTGGTCAACTACTTGAATCAAGCGTATATTGTCCTTTGCTTAGATTTCCTCTCACTCTGCCTTCCCTGTAATTCTTTCCTGCCTATAACATTATGCTTTTTTAGAAAGCTAAATTTACAAGGCCAGGGGTTTAATTCAGCAGCACAAGCACCTTCTTGGCAAGTATGAGGTCGGGAGTTCAATCCCCAATACCAAAAAAAGAAAGCAAGCTAAATTTACTACCTTCATGACTGAATTTACTGTCAACTTCAAAACTCTTTCCAAGCAATTCTTACGACTTAGGAATAGTCTCTACACTTTTGAATTTTCACCATATTATATTTTTGCATGTCAATGCCTTGCCCAAATACTTGATGCAAGTGTATGTTTATCTTTTATTCCCAGTTAAATTTTCCGTTCAAGAACAATCTTCTTTCTCTGCTATTTCTCACAGTATTTTGTGTGCTAGTATGTATAAAACACTTTGTAAATAATCCTGCGAAAGAAATACCTCAGCTTAAAATCTTGCTGAAATGTTTCCATTTGTGTTGGAAAAAGAACTCTGCTGAATGCTGCCTGTACTGGAGCTTGTGCTAGACCTCATCTCACTTGTAACATTCAGACTCATGAAATGTGCATTTTTAAATATTAAGTGCATAGCTCAAGTGTTTTTCCTGAGCCAGTAATATTTTTTTCTTTATTTTTTTTGAACAGTCTGCAACTCCTTTTTCTGTTGCATAGTTTTTTAAAAAAATAAAACCCATATTTCAGAAAATTAGACAAATTGACACATAAAGAGACTTTGAAATTGAAGTCTTAAGTATTTCCAGGTACAGTAGCGTATACTACATTCCCCCCACTCTGGAAGGCAAAGACAGGAGGATCACTAGTTCAAGCCCAAACAAGACCCTGTCTAAAAAAAAGGCATTGAGCATGGTTACACACATCTATAATCCTAGCACTTGGGAGGCTGAGGCAGGAGAATTGCCATGAGTTCAAGATCAGGCTGAACTTCACCGTGAGACCCTGTCAAAAAGTGGGGAGGGGTCCTAGGATGTAGCTCAGCCTGAAGGCCCTGGGCTCAATCCCTAATTATGGCTGATTTTATATTAGAAGCCTTTTTAAATGTTACTGCAACAGTTTTTAATGTTGCAGCAGTTTCACTGGCAGCATAAACTTCCTGCATCCTCTTCTGAATGTACTTGTCAGGTACCTGTTTCATGGGAGTGGTGATAACATCAAAGTATATCTGAAGACTGGTTGAGGTTTTCATTTATAGTGTGATTTTGTTTGCTTCACCATACTTTTGAAACACATTCATTACAGTCTTCCAGATTGATTCTACATGGTTTTTTTTTGGGGGGGGGGTTGGTTTGGTTTGGGTTGGGGTTTTTTTGGCACCAGGGATCAAACTCAAGACCTCACACTTGCCAGGCAGGTGTTTAGACCGCTGAGCTGACTCCCCAGTCATTCCGCGTGTTTTTAAAAATTCTTGTCATTCTAACTTTGAGTCAGGCATGCTTCATTCTAGATCTTTACATTTTGTTTCTTCCCAAATAGATGACTAGTGTATGCCTGAAGCAGGCAGCTTTTGTTTGAATCATCTAAGTCATTACATAGTTAAATAACAATGAAATAAAATTATTAAACTATAGTTTGAAGAAAATCGCATTTTCAGATCATTGCCATTATAGTTAAATAGTAATTATTAAGATTATTGATTGTTTTGTTAGGTCTTCCTTAACATAACTATGGCTATTTTTAGGGTATAAGTTCTTTTTCAAGATCTTTACAGTGGATTAATAGCCCAAGAATTGTGGTAGATAACTAAACTCTGGAGTTTTTCTTTCAGATTTCGGCCTATTAAAGGAAGGCAAGAAGAACTAAAGGAAGTAATTGAACGTTTTAAAAAAGATGAACACTTGGAGAAAGCCTTCAAATGTTTAACTTCAGGTGAATGGGCACGGCACTATTTTCTTAACAAGAACAAAATGCAGGAGAAATTATTCAAGGAGCATGTAAGTTTATTAAGATTAAAATTGTTGACCAGTTTGCATAAGATTGTATAATAAACTAAAGCCTGGATATTAAACACTGAAATTTAAGTCCATTTTTCATAGACTAGTGAACGTGTGAAGATCTTAGAACATAGGCAATTGTTTGGATGATTAAGAGAAAATTGTCAGCTGTCCATGGTGGCATATTTCTATAATGTCAGCATGTGGGAAGCAGAAGCCAGATGATTGCTACAAAGTTCAAGGGCAGGCTGGGCCACATAGTGAATTCAAGACCATCCTGAACTGCGTAATGAGCCTGTCCTGTTTTAAAAAAAGATATTTAGAGAAACATAGATCAGGCATTAGGTACTGAAATGTAACAGTAATAAAGTTTGTCATTTAATCATCTTACGTTTCTTATGGTATTGCTGGTGGTGTGCTTTTACAGTACGGAGACATTCTAGCAGGGTAAACAGTTTACAGTCATTTTTTTCTATTCTTTTAGGTATTTATTTACTTGCGAATGTTTGCAACTGACAGTGGATTTGAAATATTGCCTTGTAATAGATATTCATCAGAACAAAATGGAGCCAAAATAGTTGCAACAAAAGAGTGGTAATTATACTGTTCTAAATCTATAAAGTAAATTTCTGATAAAGGTTGAAGCTAGCATTACTCCAAAGGAGCTAGCCTGGTGCCATTGTTATGGCCCATGGCTGAAGTTGGAGTGAACCAGGTCCCATCTGTGGACCTACATGTTGTTTTTCTGGTATTGAGCCTATTTAGTGTTTAACCTGCTGGAAGACTAGAGATTCCAGGATGGATGACCTGGCTTCCAGTCCATCTTCTAGTGTCCTAGATGAAAGGTTGATGGCGAAGTTGTAAGGGCTGTAGGTCATTTATGGGTAGAAACACCCCAAAATATAACCTGCTTAAAAAATATACATGTAGGGCAGGGGATATAGCTCAGTGGCATAAGTGTCTGCCTGGCAAGCACAAGGTCCTGAGTTCCAATTCCTGATACCGAAAAACAAAAAATGTATGTATATGTACATGTGTCAGTTTGGTTAAAAGTGGTGGAGTTGAGCCTACTACAAGAGTTAAAATCCGTAGATGAAAGACAGTGTGTGTGGCTGTGTCTTTCCTATAATGCCTCTTCTGTTTTTCCTCCAAGAAGAAAGCCTCTCAAGTTCTGCTTTGCTTTACCTTGTTTGTTTGTTTTTTAATACTGGGGATTTTGATCAAACCCAGGCCTCATGCATGGTAAGCAAGCAGTGTACCAAGCTACCTCTGCAGCTTTTTTATAATTTCTACTTTAAGGTAGGGATCTCACTGAGTTGCCCAGGCTGGCCTTAGACTTGTATTCGTCCTACCTCAGTCTCCCAAGTGACTGGAATTATAAGCATGCACCACCACAGCAGGCTCAAGCAAGTTTGAGTTCTAGCATTCTAGAGCTGCACTATGCAGTATAGTAGCTGTCTGCTACACTGAGTCCTTGAAATGTGACCAATCTGAATTAAGTGCTGTCTGATACACACAAGTTGCACTGTTTCAAGTTGCATTGTTTCTCATTAATAGTTTCCATATTGATTACTTGCTGAAATAGTATATTGGGTATATTGGATTTAAAAATATTATTTAAAAATAATGGCATCTGGCCATGGTGACACATTCCTGTAATCCCAGCACTGGAAAGGCTAAGGCAAGAGAATCACCAAGAGTTTGAGGCCAACCTGAACTGGAGCATAAGTAATAAACAAAAATAAAGTATTTTGACTTTCTCAATGTAGTTACTAGAAAACTTAAGATTTCAATTTGAGTCCAGTCACAGGGGCAAGCACTTATCCCAGTGGCTCAAGAGGCTGAGACAGGAGGAACAAAAGTTTGAGCCCAGCTTGGCAACTTTGCAACAGTCTAATTCAAAGTAAAATTGGTGAGCAGGGGGCTGGGAATACAGTTCAGTGGTAGAGCATAGGTTCAGTTTTTAGCACCAAAAAAGACTGCAAGTTGCTTTTGCATCACATTCCCAGTAGACCGTGTACTCTAGCTGGTGACACCACAGTTCTGGGTCTTCATGACCCTTAAATGTTGCTAGTCCCTGTCTGGTTCAGCTAGTGGTCAGCAAGTTTAATGCAGTGCAGGAACTGTTTGAACTCTTTCCACCTGTGAAAAACAAGGCTAGCTGCAGGACATTAAGAGACACAGCTACCTGGTTTCTGTCCTGGAGGAGCTTTCATTCTCTTGTATAAGTAAAATAGGAAACAGGTAGCCATAGTATCAGGCAGTGGGGCTCCAAGGAGGAAGGGGAGACACCCAGGTGGGATCCTAGTCTACCCAGGTAGGGTTTCTCAATTTCTGTTACTGAGGTTTATTTTATTATTAAAAGGAAGCCATACTTACAATTTCCAGTAATTTTTAACACCACATGTTTTAAATAGGAAACGAAATGACAAAATAGAATTACTGGTGGGTTGTATTGCCGAACTTTCAGAAATTGAGGAGAACATGCTACTGAGACATGGAGAAAACGACTTCAGTGTCATGTATTCCACAAGGAAAAACTGTGCACAACTCTGGCTGGGTCCTGCTGCATTTATAAACCATGGTAAGCTACATTTCTAGGGTGACTGCACTGGTGTTGAGCAGTAGTCTTGTTGGAGTCAATAAAATCTGTTTTCTTTTTAAGAGGATTTGAAATAGGATTTTTCCCCCACAAATTTATTAGATATTTCTAGTTTAACATAAATTCTATCAGAACTCGTAAAATTGTCTGAAAAGCATTTTCAAATTTTTTAATTGTTCACTTTTCAGATCTTAACAGCAATTAACTCTTTCTTTTGGGCATTTTTCAGATTGCAGACCTAACTGTAAGGTGAGCATTAAAAAAAATTCTCAACTATTTTGTTTCTGCCTCAGCTATCAGACACTTAATGAGTTACTTTTTTTTTTTTTTTTCCCAGTTTGTGTCAACTGGTCGAGATACAGCTTGTGTAAAGGCTCTAAGAGATATTGAACCTGGAGAAGAAATTTCTTGTTATTATGGAGATGGATTTTTTGGTGAAAATAATGAGTTCTGCGAGTGTTACACTTGTGAAAGGTAAGATACTGAGATTTTCAGCTTACACAGTCTTAACAACTGATGGTTATGGGTATTAACTCAGATCATTTAAACACAGGATGGTTTTTAAGTTCTGTAGCACTGCATTCCAGTGCAATGTACATAATCAAAATCAAATAGTATGCAACTATTTTAGAGGCACTGGTACTTTCCCTTTATAAAATCTTACTATTACCAACAATTATGTGTGGGTCAGGATGAAAAAAGTGCTAGGACAGAATGGATAATAGTTCATGTACATGCCTACATGTGCATACATACCAATGCCTCATACACTGCCCTTGAAGTGGCTAGTGAAGTTTCTGATAGTCATGTAAAAACCTTGATGTTTTCTTACATATCATCAAACTGTGTCTTCTGAAACTTGCATTTTCATGTATATACTTTGGACAGTTTCTAAGTCCCCTGTTGACATTCAGCATGGAGCCTGTTTGTTGCATATCTAGATTCTGGGTCCTGGACTAGAGATGTGGCTGAGTGGTGAAGCACTTGCCTAGCGTGCACAAGGCCCTAAGTCATACCCCAGTACAGGAGAAAAAGAAAGAAAAGATTCTAGCCCTTCCACAAATTTCCAAGCTTCGACAGAGTGTCAGTTCCCACTACTCAATGGAGTGACTTCTGTGAATACCACCTCCTTGAGGGCAGCATCACAAGGTAGTGCAAATCGGGACTGCAGAAAGGCTCCTCTGACAGTGGCAAATGGTACAGATGTCACAGGCCACACAGGGAACAAGCTTGCCTTAATTAAGCCCATTTTGCTATCTTGCTTTGTGCTGGAAATTTAACCACTTGGCCTCACTTCAGTGTCCTCATTCATGGTACTTCCTTTTTGTGTGTAGGGGTGTGTGTGTGTGTGTGTGTGTGTGTGTGTGTGTGTGTGTGTGTGTGTGTGTTACTGAGGATTTAGCCCGGTTACCTCAGACTTCACACCTGCTAGGCAAGTACTCTACTGCTCAGGTACAACTGCAATACTTTTTAAATTTTAGACCAGACCCCACCAAGTTGCCCAGGCTAATCTCATACTTGTGATTCTTCCGAGTAGACCACCATGCCCAGCCTTCTATTGCTTTTATAAATGTGAGCACATTTATCATTTAAAGCCACTGCTGCTGCTTAAAACAGCTAGCTTGTAGGAGAGATGAGCAGATTCCCCAGATGCCATTTCCCTCCTTTCTGGATAGTTAGGGATCTCCAACTATAGTGAGAGAAGAAAAAGCCACAGTGTCACTCTTACAGGTTCTTTGCCAGCTTTAAGCTCTTTGCCACCCAGGGATGACAGAAAAGTAACTCCCTTCTGGTGCTGCTGAGATTTTAGAAGCCAAATGACAGAGTTTTTGCTTAGATCTTAGACCAGCCTATAAAAAGGCCCTTTAATTCATTAAATTTTAATTATAGTTCAGTAATGGATTAAAATCATTGTATAGAGAACAGTGAAAACATTAAGTGCCTATAATCTGGAGTCAGACTACCAATGTCAGAATCCCATACCTCTATTTCTTTTTTGGTTTTTGGAACCAGGGATTGAATTTATGACCTTGCTCCTGCCAGGCAAGCACTTACACTACTGAGCTAAATCCCCAGCCCTCACACCTCTATTTCATTCGTTAGGCAATGTTGGCAAGTTATATAGCTACTTAATGCCTTAATTTCCGTATCTGTAAAATGGGAATAACAACATTCTATAGGGTTATTGTAGAGATTAAATTTGTTATTTCACATGAAGCATGACAGCACATAGTTAACACAGAAATGTTAGCTATAAAATTATTTTGTTTCTGGTTTTATTCCCCTTAGGATAAGAGCTTCATGAAGGCAAAGACTGATTTTTTTATCCCAGCATACAAAACAGTAACAAAGTAGTAAATGTTTAATGAATGTTTGAGAGTGAATGAATATAGTAAATAAATATAATGAATAAACTTTTAGAAACTCTCCTTAAAAACTAACATACCCAGGATTTCAGACCAACATAGAAATTGCTTGTTCAAGTCCAATGTAAATGGAATGGTATATCACAGAACAGTAGGTGTAGCTATTGTCAGACTGTTTGAGCAGTTTGTTGAAAACTGCGTTTTTTCTGGAAATTCTCAGGTCCACCAAATTGTTTGTGTCTTTATACACAGTAGTAGCCTGGGAGGGTAAGACTAATCAAAAGAGCTCATTCAGTTATGCTTCAGATATTAACTGAAAAGTTACTTTGTATAGGCCCAGTAGTGCAGGATAGCCAAGACCGTCACAGTGCCAGCTGTCGGAACAGAGCAGTGAAAGAGCAAGGACACACAGAGTGTGTGTGTTTTTTGAGACAGTCTCACTGTGTAGTTCAGACAGGCTTTGAACTCACTGTGTAGCCCAGACTGACTAGCTTGTAACTGTCAGCAGTTCTCCTGCCTCAGCCTGCTGAGTCCTGGGGTTCCAGGCGTGTGCCATCACACCTAGCCACACACTGTGTTCTGAGACCTGAAAGGGGAAAACAGCTGGCTCTGAGGAAAGAGAATGAATAGAATGTGACTGAGATCCTAAGAGGGTAGTATTCAGGAGATACTGGAAATCTGTTTGTGAGTCATAACTATACCAACATCCGTTCTTAAAAAATGTTGCACATTTCACTCTTAATTTGAAAAATGAAATCTAATGATAATCCACACAAAAAAAGACCTAAATAAAAATGCCTGCTATGGAGACTTTAAAATTATAAAAATATTATTTCTTCCCTAATAAATATATAAATTCTTTAGGACTTAAATATTTTATTTTTTAGAATGGTCAGAATTATTTTCAGGTTAGCTTGGCATGGTGGGACACACCTGTAATCCCTCTTTGGAAGGCTGAGGCAAGACAATTGCATGTTTCAGCCCATCCTGGTCAACTTAGTGACTTAGGGAGACCCTGTCTCAAAATGAGAAAGAAGCAAGCCTGGGGAGTGGCTGAGAGTGAAAATTATCAGCTCAGTCTCCAGTATTATTTTTAAAATCATGAAACTACATCTTTGTGATAGCCAAGAAAAAAACTTTTAAAGACTGTTAGAGACTTAATAGATACTAAAATGTTATAAAATATTTGTGAAAAAACTTGATACTGGCCCAGAAGTAGGCAAAAAAAAGAAAACATGAGTAGAATCCTAGAATAAAGGCAAGTGTGTGTGAAATCATAATACGTACTAGGAAATTATTTAATAAATGAGTTAGTATAATTCATTATGCTTCTGGGGAGAAAAGCTGGATTCTCATGTAACATAGACAAAATAAAGACCTTTTGGATAAAGAACTAAAATAAATAATGTGAAACTACTAGAAAAAAATTTAGAATCTGTGTAATCGTGGTATAATGTAGATCTTCCTTAAGGCAAGAAATGATAAATCCTAAAATGTTTAACTTGTCAAAGGTAAATGATTTATTGAAGGAAAATAAAAGTACATATATGGCAAAGAACTCACAACCTAATTTTTAAAAAACTCCTATAAACTCAAGAGACAAAAGTAGAAAAAAGGTAAAGGAGGAAGAGATACATCAGAGAAAAAATATCCATTAACAAAGAAATTAAGACAAAATTAAATACAAGTACTTATTTTCATTTATCAACCTGGGAAAATATAAGCACAGTGTGTTGCTGGTGAGATTGTGAAAACACACCCCCCTGCCTTGCTAATGGGGCCACGAATTACTGTACCCCTTAGGGAAAGTAAGCTGTCAGTGTTCATTAAAAATAAGCATATGCTTTTCCTTGGCAGTTCCATGTGGAAGAGGAAATCTTTCCTGTAGAAGTAAAACACCAGTAAATAAGTATTTGATTTTAAGAGCAGCCTAACAGCAAGTATTTTTGCTAGAAAAAAATCTAAAACATAGGTTTCAGTAATCACCAGTGGGGAGTGAGCGAGTGAACAAGGGCGTGTCCATTCTGTGGAGACGCAGCTTTCAAAGCACATGTGCAGTGTGGAGCTACTTGTCCGTGATGTAAGAAGAAAACTACTGTTGCATAGAATGCTTAATATTATTATATTTTGTTTTTGTTTGCTTAAAAAGAAACAGCAACCCAAAAAAAACCAGTGATGTAAGTGGAAGAAGGCGTTGTCGCCTGCAAGTGGTTAGAGCTGGTATTCATGACTCTGACACCAGAGACAGTTGGGAAATACTGTTAACTTTTGCTTTTGGATATATATATCCTAGGATTATCTCTCATATTGCAGCAAACATGAGCACATGTTAACTGTCGTAAGTGGAAAATGATAAATAGAGACGAGCCAGAAGATGTAGTAGCACATACCTGTCATGAGCAGCACTTGGGGCTAAGAAAGGAGGGTCACAAGTTTGAGGCAAGCCTGGGCTACCTAATGAGTTCAGAGGCGACCTGGGCTACATAGCAAGATCCTTTCCCATTGAATATAAAAGAAAAAAAAAATGGAAGGAGTTTTAAAGATTCTGATTCCTGAAAATTCCAGCACTACTGTTATACTCCTCTTAAAACCAAATCCTTACTAACCGGTGCTTTTATTTCTATCAGATAGATTTCTCCTCACATAGGACTGCCAGGGAAAAGGATATGCTTATTTTTAATAAATACTGCCAGATTGCTTTCTGTTAGGGTTATACCAGTTCATGGTCCTACTGGCATTTGTGTTTGATGTACATTAAATATGGCCAGCCTTTGCAGAAATGTTACAAGTTACTGTTTAAAAAAAAAAAAAAAAGATTAAAAAACATGAGCATATCAAGATAATTTTTTTCTTGATCACTATGGAATAAGCCTTTGGGATTTACACATTTGTGTTCAAGTGTATCTTAGAATTAATTCTGATTGCTTGCTTAAAAATTGACGATTCTTTTTTACAGTGATTTTTGTCCCACTTTTGAAAAAAAGAACTGAAGCAATTTTAAATCTATTTTAGGAAGGTGAAAAAAGTAAGAATTTTTATGTACCAAAAATAATTTCTGCGTTAGATTTAAATCTGTGCTGCTTAGCTTTTAAGAATAAGTGATAGAAAAAGAAAGAAAATTTATATTGTCCTGTACTGTTAGGCAAAACACAGTAATTCCTTGGTTTTGTTTGCTTAAAAAGAGAGAAAAGTACTTCCTTATCCAAATTCTAAAAGAAAGAAATCACATGGGACTTGGCGGTAGTAACAGTGCTTTCACGGTGAAGGGCATCCACAATTTTGCCACACATTTGGAAACTATATTATATGGATTTGTGTTAAAAAGCCAAGACGAGAAAAAAAAGAAGAAAATCTAGGGCCAGAAATAAGCAAGACAGTTTTGTTCAAAGAGATTTCTTTGTGTTTTTTTTTTTTTAATACATGTGCTTTTCTTTAACCTCATTCATAATTTATTCTCTTTAATAAAGCTGAGTAAAACTTTTTACTGGTATACACTAAAGCAAAGCTAAGCAAAGCTAAGCAAAGCTAGATTCATCAGGGAAATAGAAGAAAATTTCTTAAGTACCCTCATTTACTTCATTATGTATACAGTTAAGGTCAGGTACAGATCATTCTTCCTAATATAAAAGCAGATCTTTAAGGGCTGGGGATTTAGCTCAGTGCATAGTGCCTGCCTTGCAAGCAGGCAGTTGTAAGTTCGATCCCTGATACCGATAAAAAGGAAAAAGACAAAAAAAAAAAAAAAAAAAGCAGATCTTTAAAGTATTTTGTATTCAGTAATACTTTATAATTATGAACATTTATGCTTATTTCAGAATTTAGAGGAAGAATTTAACATTTCTTATTGTTCCAAGAGAGAGATTTTCACTAATAATAGTTTCTCTGTTTTACATAGAATTTCAGTTATAATTTGTTTATAACATTAAGCTCTAGGTAATACTTGGGGGGTAATATTTTTGGTACTAGGGATTGAACTTATGACTGCATGCTTGCAAGGCAGGCACTAATACTGCTGACCTAAATCCCCAGCCCTCTAGGTAATAATTTAATATATACAAATTCTGTGCTTTTAAAAAAATTCCTTAATTCTTAATATTCAGCAATATACTGTTAAATTGTGCAGGACAAAGCAGAAATGTAATTAACATGTGGATTTTTTAAAGTTACAGTTTAGACCTAACTTACTCAGCCAGTAATTTTTTAAATCAAACAATTTGTTACATGCTTTTATTTACATATGAAATTGCAATTTTTCATAGGCAGAATTATTTTTATCAGATACATTCTTGGTTTCTTTTGAGAATTCTAGACCTGGCGGTGGTAATTGAGACCTCATCACCATTAACCTCCAGTGGCTGAGTCCACGTTTATTGTGAGTAAATGCACATACTCTGTTTGTTTAACCTGTGGTGTTTTCTCTTTCAGACGGGGAACTGGTGCTTTTAAATCCAGAGTAGGACTGCCTGCGCCTGCTCCTGTTATCAATAGTAAATATGGACTCAGAGAAACAGATAAACGCTTAAATAGGCTTAAAAAGTTAGGTGACAGCAGCAAAAATTCAGACAGTCAGTCTGTCAGCTCTAACACTGATGCAGATACCACTCAGGAAAAAAACAATGCAAGTAAGTAAGGGAGTTTGATAAGATACTTTTTTAAAAGTATTTTCACACAATTTGCTTTCTAAAGCATGCTTCAGTAGTCGTGAACTTCTAAATATTGAGAGAAACTGGGACTTATGAGCTTCAATAGCACTACAAGGTTCTAGAAATGCTTTGAGTACAGAGCACAGTGTGCATTCCACCTCCACATTCAATGCCATACTTTAGATATTTTGAATACTTGGTAACTGGACTTGAATTCTTCATGCTATATTCCAGGATCGTCATCTGTTAAAGGAAAGTATTTTTAAGGTGTTAGTGACACTTATAATGGTGTCAGCAAGCCCTGCCATGAGGCAGGGAACTAGGTAGAATTACACAGGCTTACATGTGTCCAGTGTCCAGCCAGTCTATTAGGAACAGATGATAGATTGAGGATTTCATAGCCTCTGGGTTCAAGTCTTCTCCTTTTTATTGTTTGCTTATTGTTTAAAATGAGCTGACCCAATTCACCAAACCACTGGTTTGTAGACTCAGAATTATGCTAGAGGAACATTTGGTTATGTGTCTGTGTTACGGCATAGTCTGTTAACCACAGCAGAAAGCAGCCAGAAAGATGAGAAAGCAGCATTGAGGTACCAGGGGGTGGAGGACTAGGGAAGGGCAAGATCGAATGGAAACTGGAGAACGAAAATGAAGAATAAACAAAAGGAAGAGAAGAAAAGCTAAGCGGGCAAAGAACAGCACATCATGTTCATGGAGCTTTGAAGTACTGAGACTCCTGATGCCACAGTCATTCATCTGGGTAACACCAGTGCTCTTTAGGTGCCACTGCAGGGGCAGGCTCTGCTCTCTGCCTGTCTCTGACAAAGACGGTTGTTAGAAAGGTTAACCCGATGGTCCCCCGGCTCTGCACAGGCTGGCACTCTAATGTTGGTAAAACTGTCAAGGTGCTGGTTATTTTAGGCTCTCCTGCCTTTATGTGTCAACCCAGTATTGGGTGCTCCCTTCCCCTGCAGAAAATCCTGAAGAAAGGTGTCTCACATGATGGTGAATGTCACTGCTGTGGATCCCTGAATCTACCTGCTCCTGGGAGTCAGAGGCCAGGTGTGACTTCTAGTGTAAAAGTAATAGTATAGTTCTAGCCTAAACTTTTAGTTAATGTCCAAAGTGAACAACAAAAAAGTTAGTCCACCTTTCACTGTTTTACTGTTGATTCTGATAATAAATGCAGCGTAATGAACATTTGCTTTCTGAGTCTGGTTCCTTGGTGAAACTGGAGACTTGTGAAGCCCATTTTACAAATGCTTACATAAAACACTTAGATGCCCGCTGCCAACCGTACTACATGGAGAAAGTGACAGAGCTGCCCCCAAGAGATAGCTCTATGCTGTACAGGAGAGACTTTCACGTTTTCATGCATTAACTGTATTTACTAGATCCTGAATTCAGTACACCACTGATTTGAAAAGGTCAAAATACAAATACTTTTTGGAAGATGTTGAGTAAACTAATATGTAACTGTCAAGGAAATATTTATTACTAAACCAGCTACTTACTAAAAATCTGCTAACCATTGGAGAGATACAGAAATGTCTGAGGTTCAGGCCCCTCCCTTAGGGAACTTAGGTCTAGCAAGTGCACAGATAATTGCAGAGCAGATGGACATACTGTTTTCTCATAATTAGGGAGAAGGAATAATCCCTTTGAGCTGTAGTCTGAGCACTAGAAAACAGAAAGCCACCACTTTCCGGTGACTGCTTATGTTGGAGGGCTTGCTTTGTCACTCACTACCTTTCTGCATTGTGACTCTGCGGTAATCGGAGGTTGGTGTAACTAACTGAGGTCATGGAACAGATTTGATAGACATGGCTCAGTACCAGGAGGGGACTCAGCTTTCACCAGTCTCTGAAACCATTGTGTGTTAAATCATGTTTACACAGGGTTTTCTCTAGGTCTTACAAGTGTTTTTAAGCTATCTTTCTTTTGGTTTTTTTGTCTGAACCATACCCATTTTTTAAAAAGAAAGGTTTTCCGAAACCACAGCCAGAGAAAAGCTCAAGTTGCCAGAGCCCTTCTTCCAGGGGAGATGGGCACTTACTATATATGTAGGTCAAACTACTTATTTGCTTGATGCTTTTTTTTTCATTGCATTTAGAATTTAGCAGCCAATGGAGAAAGTACTTTCTTTGAAAAGTATGTATAAAGAAATATTTCTGTCTAGTATGAAAAGATATCATTTCTGCCATGCAGGCCCTTTTTCTGTTCTGGAAGATATACTGAGAGTGCTATCTTGACTCTTTAGCATCCAAGAGTGCTGACAAACCCAGCTCAGTCCACATGTCTCAATTATAGTGTCACTTTTAGAAGATTCTTGTTTTTCAGTCTCTTTGCCTCACTGGCTCAGCAGCTTCCTGTAGTTAATGCTGTGATACAGGATGTGAGACCTGAAGGCTCAGGCAGTACCTGAATGTGTGGACACAGTCACTGAAAGTGTCACAGCAGCACAGGATCCAAATGATGTGGCCGGTAGATTCAGTTTGTCCTAACTGAGGAGCAGCTATCCTAGATGTGGAGGCTAGGCTGCCCTTTCTCACTCTCCTGGCTCTGCCATCTATAGCTGATCTGTGCTGCCTTCTGCAAGCTTATGGACTGACTTGAAAGCTGCCTTAGCACCATGCTCTGGTTAGCTATTGCCAGTATGTCACATCAGATGAAAGCTGCTTGTACCTGCCCAGCTAACTCCTGTTGGGCTTTTCTGGATGCTCGAGTTCTGAAGGTGCTAAGCTATATGAGCCTTGTATTATCTCAGTTCATGTAGTTTGCTCACTCAGTGCAGCCTGAGTGCTCAGGAAGGTTTCGGTGTCTTTTTGCTGCTGTTTCATCTTGACTGTAAATCTAGATGCTACACTGCCTGATGATTCTGATATCTTGAAATGACCGTGATAGCCATTCAGTGGGTCTGTCATTCCTGAGTTAGAACTGGCACTGTAATTCAGTGATAAGCCTTCAAGTGGCATCACACAGTAATAACTCATGATCTTAAGCCATAAACCTAAGTCGAATAGCATCCCTACTACCCAGCAAATAGATAATTCTGGGCACACTAGTCCCCGAGGACTTATTTTTCACACAGGTGAAACAGCACACATTTCCAGGCCAACCTGCCATTATATAGTACCTAGCGTATAGGAGTTGCTAAGAATGTGTGTCCACCTCCACTGCTGACCCAGGCTTATTCTCTGGAGCTTGTTCAGGCTGCTAAAGGAAGGTAGTTCCATAGGGTGTTAGTGCAGACGTAAGGCATATCTTACCTTCACTGATGACAGAACCCTTAGTCTCTTGGTAAACTTTTTAAATACACAGTGGACTTTTAGTTTGCCTTTGTGGTCACTGTCTTCCTCCTTTAGTCTTCCTGTCATAGAAATATTCAACCCTATCCATGCACAAAAAATGTACTTTGTTTTGGACAGTAAAAGACTTGTAACACTTTAGTGAACCCTCGTCTTTATACATCTTGTGTTTCTCTTGCCTGGTTCACCTGATTGTTCTTCCTTTAATTTGATGAGCTTACCTTTTGGCTGGGCTTTTGATGAGATAAGTGCTTCCAAATAAAAACAATACATTGATAATTATACAAATGTGGAAATGAAATCTCATGAGGCATCAAATACAGTCCATTTTCTGGTGAGTTTAGAACACAAAACACAAGAAATGCTTTGTTAGTGATTGGTGTTGCTGTCAACAGTGGATCTTTGGGAAGAAAGCCTGGGTTAAAACAAGCGCTATTCAGGAGAATCTTGGGTACTGTGAGAATAACAGGAAGTGCACCTCACATTCCAAGAGGCAGTTGTGAAAGGCTCCCTGAGACAGGGACTGGCCAAGCTGAAGCTCCACTGGGATGAAAAGTTGGCCAGGTGGAGCATAATTCAAAGCAGAGGAACTTACACCTGTGTGCAATTAAGGCCTTGAATCAGTAAAGCTCATACCTGCAGTGGATGAAGGAGGGATGTGCCCGCGGTTTACTTTTTGGACTTTACCCTGAGATCATTAGGCTAATTGAATGGATTAAGCTCAAAAGTGACACTGGAAGGAAATCATTCTGGATGAGAACAAGCTGTTGGAGAAGCAATGGGGATAGGGAAAATGCCATAGTTTAGGCAGGAGGTGGTGACATTTGGGGTAGAAGCAGATGGATTCCAGTGACGTTGCAAGGCTTCCTAAGACAGGTACCTGGCAATGGAATGGATGAGACAGATGAGGAGTCAAGGCTGGCCTTGGGCCTCTTGGGAGCTGATCAGAGGGGATCTGTTGTGTTACCCATGAGGTGAAGAACTCAGAAGCTGCCAGGGGTTTGATAGCTCAGTACAGGCACATTGGGTAGGCAGATGCATGAGAAGTTGGCATTTGGTGATAAGAGCTGTACTTTAGGGGTGAATTGTGCTAGAGAAAGTGGCTAGGAAACTGTTAGCGTAAATGGTAAGAGCTGTAAATGTTTAGCACCTGGATAATTGTTTCCAAGGGGTCTCAGCAACGGAGCTTAAAGGATTGGCAGTCTCAGGCAGTTGGAGGAGTGCTGGGTAGGGAGACTGAAAACCAAGAGAGTGCTCTCTGATGACCCAGGGAAGAAGGAATTTCTCAAGAGAATGGACTGTTAGTGTCACAGTCAAAGAAATGAAGAAAAGAACAGGCACAGTGTAAAAAGTACACTGGATTTCCTGATGAGGTGGTCAGATTGGAGAGGCTGGATCCAGATTGCATAGGGATGTGCTGAGAAGATGCACAATGTGTGAGCGTGGAGTGGGATGGCAGCAGGTGTGTGCCATCAGTGGTGTGGAGAGGGAAACCAAAGGTCAGGAACAACTGAGCATCAAGAGGCGTAAGATAAGCAAAGGACCTCTACGGTCAGAGAGGCAGACGACAACCAGACAGGTGCAGTCCTCCACTGGGTCAGGCCACGATCAGAATGTTAATATGCATTTAAATGAACAACACCTCTACTTAGTCCACCTTGTAGACAAGTTAGAGAATTCTCTAAGGAATTCCCAAGGCTGACCACAGTGAGACCCCTGTAATTCCAGCTACACAGAAAGATCTCAGGTTTGACACCAGCCTGGGCAACTTGGCAAGACCCCATCTCAAAATTTAGAAAAATATAAAAGGGTGAAATATAGTTCAGTGATAGTGTTTGCCTAGCATGCATAAGCTCCTGTGTTTAATCCTCAGTACTGAAGGAAAAAAATCCCTAGATGTCCTTACATTTTGAAGAATAATCTGAGCAAGTAGTTCTGTATAACTCCAGATCACAATAAAGTGCTTGAATAGTATTCTAACTTCATTTCTCCTGCTGTTCTAAAAGTGAGTTGCCTCCTTGGTAACAGCCCACATGAATCAGTGTATTTATTCTTAGTTCAGTCAGTGGAGCTCATTGCTGTGAATTCTGCTAGTTTGGGTGGCCTGAGGTTATTTATGAACAGCCTAAGTACAGAGCCTTCTATTCTTGGTAGTATAATCATTCTGGAACGCTTGTTTTACATTCTTGTTCCTCTCAATAAGAACTAATGATAACTTTCTTGCTTAGCTGTGCAGAAGAGATGGCAGTTGCCCGGGCATCCCTCGGGCATGTGAGAAGGCTTCAGTGCCCAGCTGGGCAAACTTGTGTGTGGCTCTCACTCATGACCGGGGTTTTCATCCCTGCCTTCTGCTTAGGATAGAGATTGGTGATCACAGCTTGCCTATTAAATGATTTTTAAATTTTTTAAACAGATTTTATTAGTACATTTTAGATTATATACATAAGTGATCACATTCTTCATATAGAATTTGTACCTGAACATGATACAACTTGTATTTTGGGGTTTTTTTGCCCCCATTCCTGTATCATCCCTTCAATCCCTTTTCCATCTCCTAGATTTTTAAAGTTGTTTTTGTTGTTACTGTTTGTATATTTGTGTATTTTTAATCAGGGAGAGTGTTTCTTGTTTTTGCTTTTGGGCTGAGAGATGAGAAAACTGACTTAAAAATTGACCGATATAAAATGCTATAAATTATAGTTCAGAATGCTAAGTGTAGAGAGAAAAAGGCAATGGAAAATGAGCAGCAAGGTCAGACACGACAGGAGCAGTGTAACCCAGAGCCATGTAGTCAGCCTTCTGAAAAGCCATTCAGTAGTCCCTCAGTCCTCAGGTTTTGTTGCCATCTGGGGCCATGCCACCTTTTTGTATTCCTGTCCTAGAGGGAAGCAGTTGGACCCTGCACTGTCATGGGAACATGTGTTTCTGGCTGCATGCCTCTTCCCTCTTTGTGCAGTGCACCTGGCATCAGAAAGGGACGAGGTCATGTTGGTTGTGCATCTTTCCTAGGTGGCAGCCAGCCCATTATCTCTTCTGGTCCTTACAATAAAGTGAACAAACAAAATAGTTCATGGGGTTTTTTGTTTTGTTTTTGTTTTTTTGTAAATAGTTACTGGAAATGACAGTATATGATTCACTGGAAATGTTTTTCTTGTTTTAAGCCATCATGATAGAATTTATCTCCTATAATCTTCAGGAGTATGTTTCTCTCCTACATTCCTGGCCAAATAACATAGTTGGAGTAAATGAGTGAGGGTTTTAGTAGCATATTTAAAATGATTTGAGAGCTGGGGGTGGCTCGGTAAAAGAGCACTTGCCTACTATGGGAAGGGCCCTACTTCAATCCCCTGCATCTCAAAAATGGTGGTGGTGATGACGATAATGACAGCAATAGAATAAAAAGAAAATGATTTTAAGAATTTGTGAAAGAAAAAACTTGTTACTTATTATTCCTTCAATTGATTGATTGATACTGGGAACACAAGGCCTTTTCAGTGGGCTATATCCCCAACCCTTTAAAAAAATTTTTTTAAATTTTTGAGACAGTCTTGCTAAGTTACTGAATTCCCCAGGCTGGTCTCAAATTTAGCCTCCTGCCTCAGCCTCCCAGAATGCTAGGATTATAGATGTGTGGTCTCACACCCATCTCCTAATCTTTTACATAAGAAAATTCATAAATCAAGAAAAATACTTAATGTAGGCCAACATCCTGATAACTGAAGAAGTTTAAAAATGAAACTCAGAAAAAAAAAAAAAAAAAAGAAAGAAAGAAACTCCCTGCTGTGATGAGAGCTCTTTAACCACAAGATTATTTTCCTGGGTAGCAAGCATGGGGATGCATTCCTGTAATCTCAGCACTCAGGAGGCTGAGACAGGAGGATCACTGCAAGTTCAGCCTGAATTGCATAAAAGACCCTGTCTCAAAAAAAAAAAAGCATTGTGGCACACACCAATAATCCCAGCACTCAGGAGGCTGAAGCAGGTGAATCCCTGTGAGTTTGAGGCCAGCCTGGCCCTGTCTCAGAAGAAACAACAACAAAAAAATTTATCTGAAACATAAATAGGTCCCCTGTCAACTTGAGAAAGAGAAAAAATTTTTTTAAAAATCCCTCAAGAGGGAGAGGACGTAGAGGTAATGGAAAAGATTTGTGTGCTGGCAGAATTAGAACTGGGTCTGTTCCCCCGTGTGTGTACAGTGTAAACATTTCACAGCTGATACTGCTCTTGGGGTGGTGTTTTGTTGAACACTATCATATTACCAAACTATTTTTCACCCTTTTCCCCTCCTGCACCTTACAGCTTCTAACCGAAAATCTACAGTTGGTGTGAAAAAGAATAGCAAGAACAGAACGTTAACAAGGCAATCCATACCGAGAATTCCTGCTTCTTCCAACTCTACCTCATCTAAGCTAACTCATATGAATAATTCCAGGGTACCAAAGAAACTGAAAAAGCCTGTAAAGCCTTTACTTTCAAAAATAAAACTAAGAAATCACTGCAAGCGACTGGAGCAAAAGAATAATTCAAGAAAACTCGAAATGGGAAACTTAGTACTTAAGGAGCCTAAAGTTGTCCTGTATAAAAATTTGCCCATTAACAAAGACAAGGAGGCCGAGGGCCCAGTCCAAGCTGCAGCTGCCAGCGGGTGCTTGACGAGACACGCAGCCAGAGAACACAGGCAGAATCCTGGGAGAGGTGCTCACTTGCAGGGCGACAGCTCGCCCTGCACCCACATAACCAGGCGCTCAGTGAGGACGAGGACCAGTCTGAAGGAAACCTCTGACCCCAAGCTGGAACCAAACATGGTAGATGGCTATAAAAACAGCATGACCGAGCCTTGCCCAGACAGCGGTGAGCAACCAGCTCCCACAGCGCAGGAAGAACTGGCTCATGAGCCCATGCTGAAGGGGGAAGCCACGTGTCCTAAGAGCGACCCCAGTGTGTCCAGAAAGAAGTCACGACAAGGAAAACTCATGAAACAGTTCTCAAAGCTAGAGGACTCCACACCAGGACATGATTCCCCTGAAAGAGATGGCGGGGTGCCAGAGTTGGTGGGGCCCCTTTCTGACCAGGGTGAGCCCAGTGGCACTGTCGGAGCTCCTGGGAGCTATGCAGACTGTGCTCCTTCCCCTGTTGGTTGTTCAGTTGTCACATCCGACTGCTTCAAAGCAAAAGATGGCTTTAGAACTGCAAAAACTAAAAAGAAGAGGCGAATCACAAGATATGATGCACAGCTCATCCTAGAAAATAATTCTGGGATTCCCAAATTGACTCTTCGTAGGCGTCACGATAGCAGCAGCAAGACAAACGACCAAGAGAATGATGGGATGAATTCTTCAAAAATAAGCATCAAATTAAGTAAAGACCATGAAAATGACAGTAATCTCTATGTAGCAAAGCTTAATAATGGATTTAACTCAGGATCAGGTAGTAGCTCTACAAAATTAAAAATCCAGCTGAAACGGGACGAGGAAAGCAGGGGGTCCTATGTAGAAGGGCTACATGAGAATGGCGTGTGCTGCAGTGACCCACTTACTCTCCTGGAGTCACAGATGGAAGTGGACGACTACAGTCAATACGAGGAGGAAAGTACAGACGAGTCCTCCTCTTCAGAGGGCGATGAGGAGGAGGAGGACTATGAGGACGACTTCGAAGACGACTTTATCCCTCTTCCTCCAGCTAAGCGACTAAGGCTGATAGTTGGGAAAGACTCTATAGATATTGACATTTCTTCAAGAAGAAGAGAAGACCAGTCATTAAGACTTAATGCATAAGCCCTTGGTCTTAGTTTGACCTGGGATAACTACTTTAAAAAAAAATTCCAGTCGATGATTCCTCAACTGAACCATTTTAGTGGCAGCACTTCTATTGTCTCTTCACTTATCAGCATAATATTGTAGAAAGTGTACAGCATACTGACTCTTCCTAAGTCTGATTTGTGCAAATTTTTATCGTACTTTTTAAATAGCCTTCTTATGTGCAATTCTGAGCTAGAGTTAAAGCCCTGTTGTAAAATAAAGGCTCCAGCAAAATTGTACAGTGATAGCAACTTTCCACATGGGACGCTGAAACAATAATGTGGCTACACACTTTTTTAAAAACTGAGGCATCTGCTGGCTCTTTAATATATGACTAAACAATAATTTAAAACAGATCATAGTAGCAGCATATTAAGGTTTCGAGTATATGCTAATATCACCAGCAATTATCTTTGGCTTTTTGATTTATTTGCTAGATGTTTCCCCTCAGAGTTTTGTCAGTTTCACACTGTTGCTGGCCCAGGTGTACTGTTTGTGGCCTTTGTTAACACAGGAAAATGTTCAGTTGGAAGTCAAATTGGTTTCTTTAAAAACGAAATGACATGCGTGACAGCTTACTTTTCAGTAGCTTGTATGTATGAGGTTAGCAGTGTGCAGGACGAGTTTCAGAGCAGCGTATTTATTGCTTGTCGTAAATTAAAGACCCTGTATTTAACACTTTTCAACCCTTTTAGATAAAATTGTTCTTTGCAAGAATGATTGGTGCTTATTTTTTCAAAAATTTGCTGTGAACAATGTGATGACAACAAGCAACATTGACCTAATGAACTACAGCTATATCTTAAATTTGGTTCTTCAAGTTTTCTGTTGCACTTGTAAAATGCTACAAGGAATATTAAAAATCTATTCACTTTAACTTATAATAGTTTATGAAATAAAAACATGAGTCACAGCTTTTGTTCTGTGGTAACCTATAAAACTGTTTGTCTTTGGAATTCAATGTAAAGAGCTGAAAACGATGTATATGTTGTAAATATTTGTGTGTTGTGAGAAATTTTTGTCATAAGAAATTAAAAGAACTTACCAGGAAGGTTTTAAGTTTAGAAATATTCATGCCAATAAAATAGGAAATTATAAATATATAGTTTTAAGCACTGCATCAGTGGGAGTTCTTGGCTTATGTTAGTTTATTAAGAAAATATCAAAGATGTTTTGATTATATTGTCAGTTAAAAAGAGGAGTCAGATTTAATTTGTTTTTTTAAGCACTTTGAGAAGAGAAATTTTAAGTAACTTAATGAGCAAATTTTTTTTAATGAGCATTTGATTACTACTTTATGTTCAATACCAGGCTCTTTCATTTTTCTGGATTACTTTACAACTCAATTTGGATCTATAAATCTGTAACAGGTGTTTGACACCAGTAGGTCTCTTTATTTACTGGGAGATGTGTACTTGTATGTTGGGATATACAGTGCCCCTAAATAACATCAGTTTAGGGGTCCATATAATGTCTGTAGAAAAGTAGCCTGTGTCTTATAATCTTAAAAGGAATCTGCAGGTAATGAAAAGTCCAGTGGAAAAAATCTCAAGGCTTAAGGTTTGGGGGACGTTATTTAAATTAAGTTCCTTAAAAGTATTACCAGTAGGTTCCGAATAAGAAGTACTAAGGTTCATAAAAGCTTGTTAGGTTCTGTAAGGAGTTCCCTCTGTAGTCCTGTGCAGTCTCATGCTTGTATGTTATGGTGCAGTCTGATCCTCAGGTATTAATTTGGAAGCAGGTATAGGCAGACCCCCCACACACTCCTTTTTGCTGCAGCTTATGAAGTGGGGCAGCCCTGGGGGGGTCTCAGGAGCTCCTGTCCTGAGCACTTGCAGACACATGGCATCCTCATGGGGCCCCCTCCCGGAAGCATGAGACACCGCTAGAAATGAAGGTGGACACTCACGTGTGCCCAAAGGCCATGGGTCGCCGCTGATTCCCACGTTTGCTCGAGGGTGTTTTGAAATTGTTCAGAGACTAAATCTTGATTTTCTTTGAACACCAACAATAGCCATTTCAGGAATTTCAGTCTTAAGGCAAGAATAACACATTTCCCATTTTTGCTCCACTTTTAAGCCTAATTTTAGTAACTTATTTATGATTTTTTTAAATTTTATTGTGGCCTCATCTTTTGGGGCTGACCTTCCCATGGGTCTCAGGAGCAGTGACATTTGGTGACAAGTCACTGCCTCTCAGGAGTCGGTATGCACAAGCACTCAGCAGCCACTGCTGATGCCTTCTAGGGAAATTAACTTCCGTTTCTAAAGCTAGGGGCCTCGGGACTTCTTGATCTGCTGTAGAACCTCACCATGCGAGAGTGGTGAGGCTCACACACTCTTGATCAGTTTGGAAGAGGTGGCATTCAATAAAACTTTAGCTTGAGCTTATGCAATGATTGGTAACATTTTTGGCATTGTAAGAATTAGGAAATGATCATAGAAATATATGTAAAGTATTCAATTTTCAATCATTTTTCAAATTACTGTTTTAAATTGTTTTGCTGAGTTGTAATACTTTTGAGATATAATGTATTCCTTGTACTGAAAGAATGAAAAAGGACTTTTTCAGCATTTGAGGTAAGTTCTTTAACGTTTCATTAAAAACATTTTTTACAAATATTTTGTACATGCACTTGCAGTATTGAGGTTAATCATTTTAATAAATTCGGAAATTAAAACAGTTTGGCCGGTGTTCACTGTATCTAAGAAATGTGGTGACTTTGTCCACAAAGTGTTCATGTGAAGCAGGCTGTGGACTGGAGCTTTCTCAACTTCTCAGTAGCTGTAGCTATTGAGTTCTCTGTCCCCTGGGTTCCTGCCTGGGCCACTCGCTGTGAGAGAGGACAAGGAGGCTCCTTTCAGGCATAATGGTGCACTCCTGTAATCTCAGCCTCTGGGCAGGCTGAGGCAGGAGGATTGTTGCAGGTTGGAGGCAGCCAGAAAAGCCTGACTAAAAGATATTTGGGGGGCTGGGGATTTAGCTCAGCGGCATAAGCACCTGCCTGGCAAGCATGAGGTCATGAGTTCAATCCCTGGTACCAAAAAACAAAAGCAAAAAGACATTTGGGTCTTTGCAGCCTGGTTGTTTTTCTGGTTGTTTGGATTTTTCCTCAACATATGGGTAGAACAGTGGACTCAGCATGGTCCTGCATCCTTTCTCATTTACTATTGCAAAAACCTACTTGAAATTAGACTGACATAAGAATCATTAATTTTCCCAGCATGGCAAATCTGCATAGCCCTGAGCAAGCTCTGGGTTCCAAACTTCTTTCTAGCACGCTGCTCTCTTCTGGATGACCAGTTGGTGGGAGCCCGTTGAGGTTAAGGGCAGTGGTGGTATAGGCCAAGCTGGTGACACTCCCACCCAGTGGTGGGTCTTCCGTCTGGAAAAGGCCAACACGTGCGTGCTGCTGACCACTCCACTGGCTTAGGTGGCAGCTCAGATTTTCTCTCCTGGCCAGGGGTCAGGGGCAGTTAGTTTGCAACATGCTGCCCAGAACCCCTGTGCAACTTGTTTCTCACAGGTCAGCTGTTAGCAAACACAGTCTGTCAGGTGCCTGACAGTGGCAGAGCAAGGTACCAATAAGCTACTGACCTCTGGCACTTTTGTGGTCCTATGAGGAAGGCAAGCTGGATCTTAATGTGCAAGGAAGGCAAGGTTTCCAGCTTCCTACTCCCTCCTGCATTCTGAGCACCTGGGTGTTGCTTGCGTTTGCCAGTGATGGCGCCAAGTTTAGATTCCTCAGAGAGCAGTACGGTTGGTAGAAAGGGGCAGGTGTGTAACAGCCAGATTGAGAACCAGTGATCCCTGCTCCCCCTTTCACACCTGTAAATTCATAGGGAGAGCTGGAAAGCTGCTGAGGGGAAGAGGACAGCCCACCGGCTTGTCAAGATGGCTTTGGTCACATTCTGAAGTAGTTACTCCATTACCAGGTCCTATGTCCTCACCTCATTAAATCTGAGTTTTCCTGCCCAGCTGATGAACAGTGACATCTGTCCTCTGAGCACCCTGGCCCAGATGGTGTGTTCTCTAAGAGGAAGCAGCACTCTGTCACCTCTCTGCCTAGGGCACTGAGCATGCAGCACGGAGTTCTAGGAGTCACATTCTCCAGCATGTGTGGAACACGTCTTAGATATTTGGAGTTGAGAAGGCAGAATGTGACTCAAACCCAAGGGGAGCCAATCCTGGTGGTACACACTGTAAACCCAGCTACTCAGGAGACCAAGGCAGAAAAATCACAAGTTCAGGTTCAGCCTGGGTAACTTAGCAAGACACTTGTCTCAAAAATGTTTTAAAAAGGATAAGGATGTAGCTCGGCTTGAGGCCCTAGGTTCAGTCTCCAATATCAGAGGCCCCTGAGGGAGGGACAGCTGCAGACAGCCTGGGCCTCCCACACTGGCACCGGGGGCAGGAGGGTGGGCGGTGTGAGGCCACTGGTCCTTGGAGAGTTCAGAGCACAGCCAGTAGTCGGGAGAGAGGACAGAGGCAGGTGATTTTATCAAAAGGACAATAGTACATCCTGGGAGATGAGACGCTTCTGTGGCAGGTCAGGTATCCCTGAAGGGAAGGAGGAGTTAGAGTTGGGGGTCCTACGGGTCTTCGGAGTATCAACCCATCTTCCAGGAGGAAAAGAGGTTTCTAAGTGTGGTGGAGAACCCAGTCCACATGAAGCTGTATCTATAATTACGGATGTCATTGGAGAGTCAGAAGAGGGCCCCAAGATGAGGATGGAGACGTGAAATCAAGACCGGGAAAGCGAGCCAACATTAGAAACCTAGTATAAGGAAATGCTTACCCACCACCTTTCAGTATCATGTGCTGGGTGGCTAAGGGGCTCAGGCTGGGCTAGACAGATGTGAGCCTGTCTGGTCAGACAAGGCGCCACGGGAGGTGAGGAGGGAGGAGGGAGTGCAGGTGAGTTTGGTAGGCGAAGGGTTCCACGGAGATCCGTGCATGCAAACAGGTCAGGAAACCAGGTGAGTTTGTGACCTCAGTAGGCTGCTGGAAAGGCAGTGGTGCAAGGTGGGAAGCTCTCTGTTGGTAGAGAATCTCCAAGCAATCCTGGGATGAGCGAAGGGAGAAGATGGGGTCAGAGGACAGCTCCACAGCTCTGAAAGGGCTGCATGTCCTGAGTATGCCTCTAGCAATGCCGTGGTCATGGTTCTGAGAACAGGGCACTGTGTGACCCAGCCACTCTCCATGGGAACCTCCAGGGCATTTGGCACCATCCCCTCACCTCCAGCCAGACAAGCTGGGCATGTGTGTGACAGGCACAGGAGGTGGCGTGAGAGTGGCCACCTGTGTCAGTGTCTTTTGGGGTTTTGGGGGGAAGCGGCATCTAGTTTCATTTTTGTTTTTGTGGTTGTGGGACTTGAGCCCAAGGCTTCAAACTGAGCTACTCCTTAATACCCCCTACTCTTCTTTAATTTTTTTTTTTTTTTTTTTTTTTTTGTCTTTTTCCTTTTTATCGGTACCGGGGATCAAACTCACGACTGCCTGTTTTCAAGGCAGGCGCTTATGCCGCTGAGCTAAATTCCCAGGCCCCTTTAAATTATTTTTTGAGACAGTCACTTTTTTTTCTTTTCTTTTCTTTTTTTTTTTTTTTTGTCTTTTTCTTTTTTTATCGGTACCTGGGATGGAACTCACGACTGCCTGCTTGCAAGGCAGGTGCTTATGCCGCTGAGCTAAATCCCCAGCCCCTCTTTTTTTTTTTTTTTTTTTTCTTTTTGTTATGGGAATCAAACCCAGGACCTCACAGTTGTCAGGCAGGCGCTGCGTCACTGAGCTATATCCCACCCCAAGACGGTCTTACTAAGTTACCCAAGGATCTCCCTGCCTCAGCCTTCCAGGATGCTGGATTACAGATGTGCACCACTGTGCTCCGCCTGTCTACTTTTGTAATATTCAAGGACTTGACAGCATGCCCAAGGCTGCATAGTGAGTAGTCAGTGGCGGAGTCACTCAAGGTCTAGGCTCTGTCAGAGCAGCCCTGGGGAGTCCAGGGGGAGCCCCACCTCTGCCTAGGCAGTTCCGAAACCTCTCTCTAAAAATTACCTTGGTAATAAATAGGAATCATGGCGTTTTACTTAGTTTGCAGATAAATTCTTGCTGTGTAGCCAGGCTGACCTTGAAGTAACTCCTGCCTCAGCCTCCAAACTACTGAGATTACCAGTATGCGCCACCATACACAGTTTACCTGGTTCCATGCGGTTAGGGAGGGTCAGGTTGTGGTGCAGGTAATCCAGGTGGCTCATGCTCTCTGCAGACTATTCAGAGCACCCGGGAAGGGGGAGCGGAGCTCAGCTCCTGTCCTGAGAGCCAGCAAGCCCAGGCTCCCCTGGAAGGGAGTGAGTGGATCAGCAGCAGCGGGGACTCAGACAAATCCAAGGTTTCCTCTGGCTGACCGGCTCCTGAACTCATGATTTCAATGCTGACCTGGCACGGATGCACCACAGGACAAAGGAATAGATGTCTGGTCAGAGAGGATGTACGGGTGAGCCTCCCAGATGTAACTTTCACCCCTTGGACCATGGTTTTCCCTCACGGGGCGGATATGGAACCCATGTCACACGAATGGGAAGCAGGACTCTGCAAACGTGGCTGGAACTCACGGAACCCCGGCTGTCAAGCTGGTCGCTTTCACCACTGAGGCTGTGTGTTTGCTCCCCTGAGAACCCTGACTGCGTCACAGCAGCCTCGCTGGGCTGGGAGCCAGACACTGACAGGAACAACAGGCCACGAGAATCTTGGACTAGTGCTTTTCCCAGCCGTGGGAGGCTGGAGGGCCGCCTCTCTCCAGGGCGAGCTGGTCCTCTTTCGGGTCACACGGCATTTTCCTACAGGGCTGGGGGGAATGGGGTGGGTGAGTGGACAGGCCAGGGTCTTGCCAACCTCCAGGTGCAACTGAGGGGCTGAGCCTGGGGCGCTGCTGGGATCTCGCCCGCGATGGCTGCTGAGGGTCGAGTGACAGCGTGCCAGGGGACCCCTCGCCTGGCCTGTGCCCTCGGCCAGCAGCGTGTCCAGCTTGAGGACACCTAGCGGGGTGGGCTTCCTCTCCGCCTCCCGGTTCTGCTGTGCAGCAGCTGACATCTGGATGACAGCCTTCTCCACCCCAGCTTCCAGGCGCCCCCTGCTGGGCATCGCGTTTCCTGAGCGCAAAACCATTTCAGTCCTTTCTTCCCCAGGCCAGGCTTCTGCCCGCCCAGCACCTGAAGACACAGTGCCGTCCCCCGCCCTCTCCGGCTACCATGCGCCTCTCTGAATCCACCTGCTTTCTCTACACCCTTCTTTTTTCGAACGCCAACGAGGTGCTGGGCACGCAGAAGGCACAGAAGCAACCGGGATGACTTCAACCCAACCCTTTCTTCAAGGGCCTGGGCTGGGCCCTTGGAGGGAGGCAGGTACACAGCCAGGAATGACAAATGCATCGCTACGTCAACGTGTGAAGTGTCGTGGAATATAAGGAGGAGTGGAACACGACGGCACACACCTGTAGTCCCAACACTAGGAGGCTGAGGCAGGAGAATCGCCACAAGTTCAAGACCAGCATGGGCTACACAGGGAGTTCAAGACCAGCCTGAACGACACAGCAAGACTGTCTCAAAAAACAAACATAAAGTAGGAGTATGAGCAAGGTACCTCTCTTTCTTCAGAGGCAGCAAAGCAGTCTTCAGGGAGGAGCAGAGATTAAGAAGGATGGGATGCAGAAAGAATGCTATGACCAAGAAATTAAAAAAGAAATTGACCAATAGCAAATGCTGGTGGGACTGTGGGAGAAAAGGAACACTTCTCCTCTGTTGGTGGAGAGTAGACAGCTACAACCGCTCTGGAAAGCAGCGTGCAGATTCCTCAAAAACCAGGATTGGAAAAATAATAATAATAAATAAAAAAAATTTTTTTTTTGTCTTTTTCCTTTTTATCAGTACTGGGGATCGAACTCACGACTGCCTGCTTGCAAGGCAGGCGCTTATGCCGCTGAGCTAAATCTCTAGCCCCAATAAAAAAAAATTTTTACAAAACAGGATTGGAGATCTCATTTGACCCAGCTCTTCCCCTTCTGGGTGTCTTCCCAGAAGAATTAAAAACATCATACCACAGTGATATATGTGCACCCATGTTTATAGCAGCACAATTTGTAATAGCCAGATCCTAGAAACAACCTAAATGTCCATCAACTGAGGAATGGATAAAAAAGATGTGGTATTTTTATACAATGATGTATCACTCAGCCACAAAGAAGGATAAACTGGAGACTTTTATAAGTAAATGGATACAACTTGAGGCCATGCTCATAAGTGAAATAAAACAGACTCACATGTGTAAACATCACATTGTCTCCCTAGTGTGAGAAGCTGAAAGAAATTTTATATATATATATATATATATATATATATATATATGATAGTTAAGAGTTATACTACTAATTTCTCTTAGTTCATTGAAAAGAAGGGTTTGTGCTAATATTGTTTGGATAATTAAATGAAAATATCTTATCCTCTGAGTAACTAATTTAAAGATAACAATACATGATGTTTTAACCATTGTTACCCTCCATTTATCTTGTTTTGAAATTTTGTTTTTATTTTTTTCTCTTTAAAATAGAAAAAAGGATGTGGTGAACAGGAGCTTGGAAACAGGGTCAGAAAAACAGTGAATGTGTTCACAGTCTTGGAGACAAGTGAGGACAGGGTGGCTTCTGGGAAAGATGGTGCTGCCCGGTGTGGCTGACGCAGGGGTTTACAAGGGGATGGCGGAGTCAGAAGACGTGGGGTGTGGGAGGGAGATGGGACTCTGGGCTTCCAGAGGGCCCTGGGAGAGCCTCTGAGCAAATTCCATCTCTGTGGGCTCCAGGCTGAGCAGCTTGGCCGATCCAGCCTTAGTTTCCCGTCCGTGAAAGTGGGGTGACCGCAGTGTCCACCTCCTAAGGAAAAGGAAAACAACGGGAAGGTGAGCAGTGCCACACCTGCCACCCGGCGAGTGCGGCCATGGCTGCTTTTGCTGCTTCCTGGCGTCAAATGCCAAAGCCTGTGCTTTGACTCGGGCTTCCCTGAATCGGCCCCCCTTCTCCAGCCCTGAGCCCCAACCACGGCCCAGCTGTTCCCAAGAGGCCGAAGCAGAGCGGGTCAGGTTCTCGCTGTACAGAGAGCCAAGGACAGCGATGTGCGGGGGTGGCAGGGAGGGCACACAGCAAACGGAAGGCAGAGGTGGACGAGGCTTGGACCCAGGCTGTACCTGCCCTGCCCTGCCCTGCCGGTGCCCACAGCCCCCCACCCCATGCTGCCTGGCACCCACTGGGTGCTGTGGGCTCTGAGTCATTGGCTGCCGGTCAGCAGAGGCAGCTACTGTTGACAGGTGATAATGCTGTGTGTTTAGCTATAGCCACTCACAAAAGGAGTTAATGTTCAACTCCCGCTGGCCCTGGCACCTGGCAGTGGGGCCTCCCTCCCCAGCAGCCACAGGAGTTCGCCTCGCCTTCTTGAGTGCCTGTCTCAAAGCTCACATGAGTCTCTCTCAGGGCCATGGGAACACATGCCAACAGGCTGGATTCCTCATCACTGTTCCAGGAAGGAGGAGGCCAAGCTCCAAATGAGCTGTCACCCGGTATCACCCAGGATACGGGTCACACACATTGTGCTGCTGTGGGCCGGGGCCTGGGGACCAGTGAAGGGCCCTGGTGGGTTATGGTTCAGTATGTTGAGTGGTGGAACAGGGCCTAAACACTTCCGGGTCATGAAGAGCTTTGCACCTGCTTCTCCCTCCACGTGGGACCCTCTTGGACTCACTGCCTGTCATCCCTCAGGTCTCTGGGAAGGAAAGTGACACCTCCCACATCTTCCCTTAATATCCCAGTTGCACCCCAGCTTCTCTCCACTTAGCCCTGATCCTCCCCAGCCACATGGGATACTTTGGGCTGGACAGTGGTTGAGCCTAGGGAGGCTGAGGTAGGGGGCAGGCTGCCAGGGAAAGGGCATCCTCTGTGAGCTAGGAAACCTAGCCTAATCTAGCTGCAGAGAACCTTCTGGACCTGCTTCTGTAGGGCTGAGAAATACAGGGAAGGAAACTGAGGCCTAGTGAGGGTGTGCACTAGGCATGGCAGAGCTGGCAGAGAGGCAAGTCTCTCGCCCATAGGCTGACTCCCTCCCCTGTGGGCAGAGGGGAAAGCACGCTCCATCCAGGGGCAGAACACAGGTGCCCTGGCATTCCATGGCAGGCGGCTATCCAGGGGTGGGGCCCCATTCTTGGGGGTCCCAGCCATAGGTCAGACACACAGACTGCAGCAAGGTGGCAGTGTGCGGCTGGCCTCACAGCTCACAAAGACCTCCAGGGGCTGGGCTGACAGGAGCCCCGTCAGGACAGGCTGACTCTGGACTCCTCCTCAGGCGCTACGGATGCCTTGGCTCTTTCCCTCCCCCAGCTTCTTCCTGTACAGCCACAGGGACACCCCCACCCCACCCCTGGATTTGAGGCATCATTCATTTCTTCATTTGTGCAGCATCTGCCATGCACTCACTCTGCCCTGGGGACAGGGCAGGGGACACAGGAGACACTGGGCACTGGTGAATCCTTTCTCCTGGTCTGCACTCCTGGTCTGTGGTCTGGCAGGGGGAGAGAGATGACAGACAGACAGACAGACACTTCAGTGGGTGCTTGGACAGGGAGGCCAAGGGAAGGAGAAGCAGGGAAGCAGCCAGGGAAAAGTGCTAAGCACAACAGAGAAAGTTCAGAGGACTGGGGTTCTGAGCTGGGTTTTGTGCACAGTGTGGGGGACTGAACCGGGGACTTCTGCGCTAAGCTACAGTCTCAACCATATTTTTTCCTTTGGATCAGATTCTTTTTTTTTTTTTTTTTTTTTTGTCTTTTTCCTTTCATCGGTAGCGGGGATCGAACTCACAACTGCCTGCTTACAAGGCAGGTGCTTATGCCTCTGAGCTAAATCCCCAGCCCCTGGATCAGATTCTTACCAAGACACTAAGATGCCCATGCTGGGGCTCAAACTTGGAACCTTTGTGCCTCAGGCTCCCAGAGTGTTGGGATTACAGGTGCACATCACCACTTGTGGTTGAGTTGAGTTTTTAGGGAGAAAGAACTGCACAGCGGAGGTAAGAAAGGGCTCCCCAGCTCACTCACAGCACATCTTTGTTTGCTTGTGTTGTTGTGTAACAACAACACAAGCAAACAAATTCAATTGTTGTTACATTGAATCCAGGACCTCACGTATGCTAGGCGAACATGCTATCACTGAGCTACATCCTTAGCTTATTTTATTTTTTATTTTGATACTGGGCCTTGCTAAGTTGCCCGGGTTACCTGAGCTCCTTCTGCCTCAGCCTCCCAAGAATCTGGGATTACAGGTATGTGTCACCAAGCATGGCTTCCACACAGGCTTCTGCCCTGAGCTGAGAGCCAAGGCCTCAGATAGGGTCCCTGACCTTCCCCTGCTTTATATTATAACTGAAATACTCAACAATCTATTATGGTATTTTTAGAAGAAAATACAGAGGGTTGCTTAGCAAGCACTCAGGCTGGCAGCAGACAGCCAGGGTTTGTGCCTAGGGGCAGCACAACTTAGTTTTTCAGTGCTGGGGGTTGGGCCCAGGGCTTCACCATGCTAAACACATCTAACAGGGCGCTGCACCCCGGCCCCCTGCAATGTTTGCCTTCCTGAGCCTCCATATCATCATCCGGGGAACAGGTGCTCATGCCACCTGGGTGACGATTAAATGACATCATTAATGTGCACCCCCACATTAAATGCAAGGTCCGACACCTAATTGGCCAGTAGGTGAAGAAACTTGGTGCTCACATGAGGGAGGACAGGTTTTTCCCCAAAGGAGCATTCTTTTCTCCTCTGCTTCCTGGACTCTGAATTCTGACATGTCCCCACCACCTCCCCCAGGATCCATCCACCCCTACTGCCAAGGTGGTCCAGAAAACAAGGATGAACACTGTCCCCATGCTGGAGACAGGTCACAGGCTCAGGTCCTGGCTTCCCTGGTCATTTCCTCTTCCCCAAATCCATGCCTCTTCTGTGAAGATGGTGGCATTCCACTCTCAGTTCACGTCACCTGGGATGCACAGACCTCCTCACTCACCTCACTGAGTCCCACTCTAGCACTGCCCAATCAGGGCTTGCATCCCCCAGGTACTGTGATTGGTCCAGTAATAAACACGTGACCAAGATGGAACCAACTAATGCAATCTTGGGACCTAAAGTTGGGTCTTTGAGACAAGATGCTTTCTCTGCATCGGAGTGGCCTCATCAGTAGGATGTAGGCCAAGAGTTGCTGGCTGCCACATTGCCACCAAGGGGAGAGGCTGCCAAGAGAAACAGTTTGACTAGACCGATATTTACAGCACGGGTGAGCCGGGTCAGGGTAGTAGGATTGGGAGGCCTGAGCTCTGGCCAAGGCCAGGCGGGTCACTGACTTGCTGCACAAGCCAGAGCCAGGCATGCTCTGCTCTGAGTTTCTGTCACCAGCAAGCTCTCACTCTTGCCCTGTGGAGCATAGCGCGGCTGGCCAGCCCCAGTGAGCTGACACAGTGAACAGCTAGGGTTACAGCAGTCCACAACTCCGCTGGGCAGCCTGGAAGAGCGGGAGAGGCAGCTGGCCGCCCCTTAGCCTAGACAGTGGCCCTTGACTGAACGCTCAGGCTCTGCAAGTCACTGACCCATAGTCTAACTCCCTGAGTGTTATAAGCATTGAAGCCAGTGGAGGAATGGGGAACTGGAAGCCTCATGGTCCCTAGGTTACAATTCAAATCCTACCACCTCCTGACTGTGATTTGGGATAAATGACATCACCTATCTGGACCTCACTTTCCCCTTTTGCTAAATGAGAATGACGATAACTGTCAGCTGCCAATGAATACCTCCTAGGTTCTGTTTCATCAACTGGGAAAACAAGATACTAAACAGAAGGGGATTGGATACTGGAAACTTGACTTTCAAAATGGGAAGTAAGGTTAGGGCAGCCATGTCTGGCTTCCCAAATCACAATTGAGCAATCTCAGGGCCCTGGCAAGATGCCATTGCCTCCTTCCAAGTCTTGGACAAGTGTCTGTGATTGACAGGCTCCACTCAGATCCTGGCTGTAGAGGATTCTGGGAAATGTGCTTCTCAGGCTTCCAGCCCCTGCGGCACCAGGAAGCCATGCTTGCCTTGGCAACAGGCCACTCGGGCCTACAAGATCTGCAAAATGTCCTGAACAAACCCGACACATCAGCGTTCTCTAGTGAAGCATAGCATGTTGCTCCTCGTCACACCTGTGTGGTCCCAGGCAGATGGCCAAATATCTCTGTGGTTGCCTCCTTACCTGCCAATAGGGATACTAACAGTGCCCACCCACAGGACGAGGGTGAAGATTCTGCGCAGTGATCCACGTAGAAAGCTTAGCACAGGGCCTGGGACCCAGTGCACCTCAGCACTTGCGAGCCACTCTGATGCTGGGTGAAGGATTTTCTTTGGGGAGAAGCGCCAGCTGCTTTATCTGCCCTACACGGGGTCCATCCCGCTCACTGTTCCTGCCACTTTCTGAAGCAGCTCCAGAAGTCCTCTTTCCACTGAGACTGCGGACTCTGGGGGTTTGGAGAGGCTGGGGTCCACATGCCTGCTGCTCCTCCAACCCCCAACTTTCCAGCTCAGGCCCACACATTCCTTCAGAAAGAATCACCCTCCTGCGCTCAGGGATTTAGCTCAGTGGCTCAAATGCTTGCCTGGTAAGCACAAGGTCATGAATTCAATCCCCAGTACCCAAAAAATAAAAAGAAAGAAAGAAAGCATCACCCCCTCCCTGAAGTTCCTCCTGGTGGCAGTGCCACTGTGCCTGGCAGTCACGTCCATGCCATCAGCCTATTACATGGGGATCCCAGGCTGCGGGCAGCTTCCCACCTCCTCTAGCTGCTCCTTTCCAAACCAGCTTC